CCTCCCCTCTAGAACCCTCAGTTTGTTTTTCAGAGTCCATCGTCTCTAATGGTTCATCTCCCCCTCCAACTTACTCCCCTTCATTCTTCCCCTCCTGCTCTATTTATTTTTAATCTCACTCTTTTACAGTCTCTATTTTGTGTGTACATTTTCAAATATATTAATACAGTAGCGCTGTTTTTTAATAAGATAAAAATTTATAACTCGAAAGTACATGCTTATATTCTTTTTACTGGTAAGAATGTACAAAATTGTATCTAATAGGGCTTTATTTCCATCTGGTGGTTAGTTGTGTGGTATGAATTCCTCCTGTAGAGTAGATTGATTTGACCTAACTTGGAACCTTAGTCTCAAAAGGAAAAGCAGTAGCTTGCCAGTCTCACACTGCACGATATTTAGTCCTAGGATATCTAGAAAGGATTGCTCAAGTAATAATAGTAACAGTAGGAATAATAACATCACATCGTATTCTACAAAGCTTTCTAGTGCCTCATAAATAATAATATAGAAACAAGCTTAGGCAATAGAATAATTATGATTATAATCAATAGGTATAATAATAGATAATTACAAATAATGATTTTCAAATGCAGCTGCTTCACATGTAATCACAAAAGCATTAACCATGGTATTATACATTTACAAGGGAAAGAGAAAGTTGAGGTTTTAGTAGAGCAGGAAAACACTAGCTTTAAAAATGAAATCTGAAACCATGAAAAGAGGTTCAGCGTCCCTAGTAATCAGGAATGATTACTGAATGCAGATTAGCTGCAAATGCAAAGTGAAGCAAAGTACAACTTCTTGCCCATCATATGGGGCAGAAATGTTAGTCTGATGATTATCCAGGGTTGGTGAGGATGTGGGAGTGCTCTGGGGCAGCAGTATAACTCAGTGCAACCACTTTGGAGGACAGTTTGGCAGCATTCTCAAGAGAGAAAAATGTTCATGCTGTTCACTGTCTCTGGATATGCCCTCAGGAAACGCTCTTACACAAAAAGGCGAGAACCAGCATGTTCATTGCAGGACCGCTGTTAACAGCAAACGGTTGGAGACAGCTATCATTTGCGGAACGGTTAAAAAAACTGTGACTTTTTAAAAAATTAAAGTATAATTCACATACCATAAACTTCACAGTTTTAAGGTGTACAATTCAGTGCTTTTCAGTATATTCACAGGACTGTGCAACCATCACCACTATCTAATTACAGAACATTTTCATCACTGCAAAAAGAAACCTCTGCCTATTAGCAGTCACTCCCCATTCCCTCCTTCCCCCCTCCTTTGGCAACCACCAACCTACTTCCTGTCTCCGTAGACTTGCCTATTACATACATTTTGTATAAATGGAATTGTACAATCTGCAGCCTTTTTTAATAACAGATTTATTGAGATATAATTCATATATGATACAAGTTATCCATTTTAAATGTACTATTCAGTGGGTTTTAGTATATTCAGAGTTGTACAACTATCACAACAGTCGATTTTAGAAAATTTTCATCACCCCAAAAAGGAACCCCATTCCCTTGAGCTGTCACTCCCAAACCCCTCCTCCCCAGTCCAAGGCAACCATTTCTGTCTCTATAGATTTGCCTCTCCTGCATGTTTTGTACAAATGGGTCACAAAATATGTGTCTTTTGTGCCTGGCTCCTTTCACTTAACATGCTTTCAAGACTCATCCACATTGTAGCATAGATCAGTGCCCCGTTTTTTTTAATTACCAGGTATTATTCCATTGTGTGAATATACACTTTGATTCTCCATTCATCAGTTGATGAACATTTGCGTTGCTCCCACCTTTGGACTACTGTGAATAATGCTGCTAATGAACACCCATATACAAATTTCTGTTATGAGCATTTGTTTTCTGTGCTGGGTCATATGGTAACTCTGTTTTACTTTTTCAGGAACTGCTAAACAGTTTTCTCACAGTGACCGCACGATTTTACATTCCCACCAGCAATGGATGAATAAGGGCTCCTGTTTCTCCATACCCTTGCCCCACTTGCTTTCCTGTCTTTTTATGCTAGCCATCCTAGGGAGTGTGAAGAGCTATCTCATTGTGGTTTTGATTTGCATTCCCCTAATGATGTTAAGCATCTTTTCATGTGCTTGTTGGCCATTTGTATATCTTCTTTGGAGAAATATCTATTCAATGTGTGGCATTTTTATGCTATGCTGCAGAGCTGTTCAAAGGAATGAGGCAGATCTATATGCAATAATCGCTGAGTGCATCTCCCAAGATTTAACACCGAGCAAAATAGCAAGTAGTAGAATGATGCATTACCGTACTGTAAATTTTATATAAACACACACTCAGGACTGTGTGGCTAAATATAAACATGTCAAGGGATAGAGAATGATCTGGTAGAATATTTCCCAAATTTATAAAGATGGTTAGTAACCCGGGGGCAGGAAGAGAAAGAACTAAGGTGGGAGTGGGGGGTGGGATCTCATCAAAAGGGACTTTTGTCTTATTTAGAACATTTTACAAAGTACTCATGAGCTATTTGATTAATAAAAAATTGTATTAAAAAGTCCTTAAAATGTATACACCATTTGAAAAGATAAGAAGAGAGAAGCAACTGGGGAACCCTATCTGGAGAGGTTAGAATCAGTGCTTTCATGCCACCTGGCAAGTGAATGGACGACTTCTTTTCCGAAAATAGGTTCATTGACTCTTTACAGCCCAAATCCATTTTGTCTTGGTCTCTTTTTCAAAGTAATTTTATTATTGTTTTAATAATATGTAACAGTTCAAATAGTACAGAGGTTTATAAAGTTAAACTTATCTCCTCTTCTCACCTGAAACGCCCTTCCCCACAGAAGTGAGTGTTCCGTGCACTTCCTTTTCCTGATAAACCTCTCTTCTAGTATCGTCTCCTCGCCCCACCCAACAAAGTGTGTTTCTTCGGCTTTCTGCCTTTCTGGCTTTCTGTTGTTGATGGGGAGAAGCTCCTTCCTCTGTAGTGGGGAGGGAAGGCTTTGTCTTTAAGAGTCTATGACTGTGGTCTTCAGGCTTGCTTTGGATAACCCCCTACAGAGATTGTGACTTAGTAGGTCTGGAGTGCTGCTGGGGTGTCTCTTTATTTTTATGAAAAGCTCCCATGGTGATTCTGATGAGTCAACAGGGTTAAAAATCATTTATCTAGTGAGTAACAGAGCCATCATAAACTGTCCTCGTGATGCTTCTTTGAGAATTATTTTTGGTAGGTTCTTTATGAGAGAGTAGTGAGCCTGTCAGCCTTAAGGAAACATGCCTGAACTCAGATGGTCTGTTTTGTTCCAGGAATTTCACAGAATTTTTACTTTAGGTTATTTTTAGCATTGAGGTTTTATACTCATATACTCTGCATAGAGCTGCCATCTGAATCTAAGAAAGCGATCTTGGATTCTTTTTTGAAAATGGTAAGATTATGCAGTATAGGGCAAACTTAGCTCGTGGGCTTTCTGTCATTTCACATTGAAGATGGGCAGATGTAGCAAAACTGACAGGTGTGAAATCTTCTGTGCCCAGCAGACTATCCTTGGGTCTTGTTTTGTCAAGCTTTTTGTTTCCTAGCCGCACCCCACCCCATTGTTGTTGACTTTATTATAGTATGCTTGCCTGAGATGCAACTTGGAACTTCACATTCGTTTCCATTATTAGGTTTTCAGACATAAAACTTGCAGAAATCCATAAAAGCCATTTAAAGACATAGTTTCTCTGAAATAATAAACCTGAGTAATCTTTCTCATATCTTAAATTATGTTCAATTTTATATTTTCTCTTCTAGGTATTCTCATGGGAGCAGTTATAAAAATTATAGAGTTCAAAAAATTGGCAAATTGGAAGGTAGGTTTGCCCACCTGTTGATTTTTGAACATACTTAAAATTTTTATTGGTTGTCCTTAATTTTATAACACTGATGGTTAGTTATGGTGGCTTATCATTACTTGACTCTCAGTGAAGTTTATATTGTCCCATTAATTTTTTAACATTCTACTGGATTAGGGTTGATATCTTTACATCTGACTTTTTTGAAAAAACGTAAGTCTCACACTGCTTCAAGTTAACATGGGAGCACTCAGTGTCATGTTTTGTTATTTATTTTAATTTGTATAATCTTAGAATAACCTGCTGTCTGGGGGGGAAGTCTCTAATTAGCCTTAAACGTCAATCAGTGGTTATTGCTGACAGCTGAAGATAAAGCGGATTTGTCCAGCACCGTAGAGCTTACAGAATGCTTTCTCCACTGTAGCTCATGTTGTTGTCATGAAAACCACATGAGGTGGATTGACCACATACTATCATCACTGTGTTTTTACAGATGAAGAAAGTGACCACAGAGAGGTTGAGACATGTCCAACATCACAGAGCTAGGAAGTGGCTGAGTTGAGCCTTAGGGCCAGATGGGCTGGCCCTGTGTATTCTCTCCGCCATACACCATGCTGTCGTCAGTGTGTGGGTGTTCTTACCCTCGTGTTCATATAGTAGTCCGCATGTGGGCATCATCTTGTGGTACAAGGACTAACCGAAACTCAAATTTCAACTTAAACTTGTGCATCCTTGGGGCGCCTGGGTGGCCCAGTCGTTGAGCGTCTGCCTTCGGCTCAGGTCATGATCCCAGGGTCCTGGGATCGAGCCCCGCATCGGGCTCCCTGCTCGGCGGGAAGCCTGCTTCTCCCTCTCCCACTCCCCCTGCTTGTGTTTCCTCTCTCGCTGTCTCTCTGTCAAATAAATAAAAAAAAAAAAATTATGCATCCATATTGAGTACGGAGATTTTAAAAGTGTGTAACAAAATTGATTGTGTAGAGGGCAGTAAGGTTCATTTCAAAATATTAAAGAATATTTTGTAGCTATAATTTAGCACATTCAAACCCCTCTTGTTTTGATTCAGCTCCTAGGTGCTAGGATTAATTTACCTAGGAAACTATAGAGTGTAAAATTTGCAAAACAAGCCACATGGTCCGACCTAAATCACAATTTGAACTGTTATAATTAATATTCAGGAAATATTGTACACATTAAATAGATTCTCAAAATACACGTTGAGCTCCTCCTATGATAGACCTCCCCTCAGCTGGGGAAGGGACAGGGCCGGCCCCACTGGAGCACATTGTGAATGATCTCTCTGGCCTACTACAACTGGTTAAATTTCATCACCCTCACAGTGGCTAGGTTGTAGGGCAGGGGACACAGACTGTAACCCTTTCTCTATTCCTGCATACAGCCTGATGTGTAGATAAAGCCTAACACATTTTGGTTTAAATCAAAATTTAACTGATCTAATTTAAAATCAGTCACTCAAAATTGGACCTGATTTTAAACAATTAAAAATTGTTTTATTTTAAAATATTGTAAATCTATATAAAATGCTGGAAATGTCACATAAAAACCTGAACTTCTAGCTTCCCTTGAAGAAACAGAAATTCTTAACGTCAGGCCCACATGCCGCCCCACAGAGATTCAGCAGCTGCTCCTTGGGGGAATGCTGTGTGGCCTGGGGAGACTGTGAGTTGGTGACCCTTGTTCTGAGCAGTGGGGGGTGGGGCGGGGAGATTGTCCTCCAAGTTTTGTATGCTTCAATTTTGTTGAATTTATTTTTCAGTGGACGTTACTTTCCAAGTTAAATAATAGTAGTATATTTAATGGTACAGGCAAGTGAAGCAGAGTTGGGTGGTGAATGTAATTAAGTGCCCAAAGGGCCATCCAGGCGATCTGGGCTTGACCTCAGAAGAAGGGGGAGGTTTCTAGGCCGGGATAGTTGGGCCAGGCTTCCTGGAGGAACAGGTGTTTGTGGAAGGCTGAAGCAGGAAGCAGGACACCTGTTTGGAAACCGGGTGCTGCAGGAAGCAAGAGGAGATCCGAAAAAAACAAGGAGCCTGGTGTTCTTTCCGTGCAGTTCTGCTGCCAGACTGTCCCCCTGGGCCTGCCTTCCACCTGTATTGTCATATACTTATGTATTTATTTCTTGAAGCAAGTTGCTTTTTTATGTATATATATTTTTTCTAGCAGTTTTTTTTTACAGGCTTTGGTTGTGGTAAAATATATATATAACATAAAATGTATCATTTTAGCTAATTTTAGGTATATGTTTCAGTGGCTAACTACATTCACAATGTTGTATAATCATCACATTATCTATTTCCAGAACTGTTTTATCATCCCAGACAGAAACTCTACCTGGTAAACTACTCCCCAGTACCCCCTCCCCACAGTCTATTCTGCTTTTTTTTTTAGTATTGTCTGTTTTTCAGTAGCCCCCTATTCTACTTTGTATCTTTATGAATTTACCTATTTTAGGTACCTTATGTAAGTGGAAACATTTGTCCTTTTGTGTCTGGTTTATTTTACTCAGCGTGATGTTTTTAAGGTTCATTCATACGGTAGCATGTGTCAGAATTTCCTTCCTTTTGTGCCTGAATAATACTCTTTTGTAGGTGGGCGCCTGGGTGGCTCAGTTGGTTAAGCGACTGCCTTCGGCTCAGGTCATGATCCCGAGTCTCGGGATCGAGTCCCACATCGGGCTCCCTGCTCAGCGAGGAGCCTGCTTCTCCCTCTGACCCTCCCCCATCTCATGTACTCTCTCTCTCTCTCATTCTCGCTCTCTCAAATAAATAAATAAATCTTTAAAAAAAAAATACTCTTTTGTAGGTATATACCACACTTTGTTTATCCATTCATCTGTTGATGGACCATTTCTACCTTTTGGCTATCGTGGATAATGCTGCTGTGAACACTGGTATATATACTATAGATGTTTATTTTAAAGGAGACATTATAATACCAGGTTATAATACTGTGGGAAACCAATACTGTTTTTATAAATAAATATGATAAAACAAAGTAGTGCAGAGGCCTCCTGAAGCCTCTGAGGTCAAGCTTGTTCTGTTGAAAAGGGAGATCAGCACATTGAAGAGAGACTTTATATGCCCTCACGCCAGCCTGCAGTGTCTTTGACTTAATTGGGACTGGAAAAGAATCAAAGGGGGCTGACTTTCTCAATCTGGGGCATCAGTGGTATATGACATACTGCTCATGTACCATCTAAAATCACCTCATACCATTTTGGGGTGATGTTGCCAGAAGGAACCTAGGGTCTTTCTGTAACACTACTCACTTACTATAAGGTGGGACATTCATTTCCTGTGGCTGCCACAGCAAATTACCAAAACTGGGGGGCTTAAGACCACAGAGATTATTCTTCCATAGTTCTAGAGGCCAGAAATCTGAAATGAAGGTGTTGGCAGGGCCATGTTCCCTCTGGGGAGCAAATCCAGGCTCTAGGGGAGAATCCATCATTGGCTTTTGCTGGTTTTGATGGTCCCAGGTATTGGTTGGCAATGGCAGTGTAACCCCTTTCTCATCTCTGTCTTCACATGTCCTCCTTCGCTGTGTGTGTCCTTTCCTGTCTCTTGTAAGGGCACTGTCATTGGGTTTAGGGCCCACCCTATTCTAGTATGTTCTCATCTGGATTCTTACATTACACGTTAATTACATCTGTGAAGACCCTATTTTCACAGTAGGTCACATCTGGGGTTCCAGGTGGACATGAATTAAGCCTGGAGGACACCATGCAACCCACTACAGGTGGATTCTCTTTTTTCTCAGGGTGGGGTGGGGGGTTAGTTTCTGAAACTCCAAAAGAATCTGTACAGCAGTCCCACTGCACAGATCCTGAGAATAGGTTGCCCCACAAAATAGAGATCGGCCCATTTCTTTTCACATGGTCCCAGTCTGAGTCATGAGCTTGTTGCATGGGCAGTTATTTTAAGATTTAATAAGGCATTTTCAGAAGTCATCATTTGCTTTCTATTTTGAGCCTTTGAATGTTATTTTAGTCTTTATGGTAACAGCTGTACATTTGTAAGAATACACTTAGCCATTCTTTTGAATAGGGATTTTGACAAGAAATCTGACTGTCAAGACTGTGGCATGAAAACTTTCATATGAAAAAGGGCCTAATTAATACTGCAGTTATTAAGTAGGCTTTGTATTACATGCAGTCATTTTGGATTTGAGGACCAATATGAATTTTCCCCCAGTACCTCAACAATTAGAGGTATTAATATACAAAATGAAATTATTATGTCATCCCTCTAAAGATGGCCATATTCTGGCATGGCAAGGGGCTTGCTTGATAGCCATGTCCCAAGTCACAAGGGCATCAGATGGAGACTATTCCATCATAGTCCCAGATTTAGGAAAATGGCACAGTTGTCTGTGACAGAGAAAAGGCAGAGCTATTTTAAACACGTATAGGGTTTACTCTTCCTCCAAGTGGATTGTTTTAGGGCTTACTGTTACTTTTTCCCAGAGAATTTCAATTTGTGGACTTATTTTTGAAAGTGTCCTATTTTAATTGAAATGTTTTCTGTATTAAAATTAACTTTCTTTCCTTAGTAAAGAATGAAAAGCAGGGGCACCTGGGTGGCTCAGTCGGTTAAGCGTCCGACTTGATTTCGGCTCAGGTTGTGAGATTAAGCCCTACGTCGGGCTCCGTGCTGGGTGTGGAGCCTGCTTAAGATTCTCTTTCTCGCTCTCTCTCTACCCCCCCCTCCCTTTCTATAAAAATTTAAAAAAAAAATAAGAGCATATACTGTGTGTTTGGAAGCAGTTCATCCTGTTTCTTATGCTGGTCACCTTTTAAAATCACTTGTCCTACATTTTTTAATGCAGGTTTTATTACATTTTTTGGTTTCTTCTTCTGCTTGGTTTTATCATCAGGTACTCTTTTAAACATTGCATGTTTCCACTGGGCCTAAGAGAACAATTACTTTTGGCTCTTCACCGATGGGTTTATTTCTTAACTACACAAATTTCCATGCTTCTGAAAATACCCATTTTATATTTACAGGAAGAAGAAATGTTTCGTCCAAATATGTTTTTCCTCCTCTTGCTTCCTCCTATTATATTTGAGTCAGGATATTCATTACACAAGGTAAGACTCAGGCATGCATTGGTGCTTTGGTCTAGGTGGCTGCCCATGTTAGTAAGGCAGGCTTCCGAAAAACTTGGGTGTTGACCTAGCAGTGGAGGCTCTACGTCGACACCCCGGGGGTGCACGTAGAAGCTGGACTGCACTGCCAGACTTAGGGAGAGGAGCAGACATACCTGGTTTCAGGCAGTGTGGCTTATTAACTAGTGTTTTCCGTAGAGGGTTGTTTTGCCTAGGAAGTGATGGCCAAAGTGATTTTAAGTGGTGTACAGACGATCCATTGATTCCTCTTGTTGGACACAGACTGACACATGTAGGAGCACAGACTGTCCTGGGACAGCAGGGACATGTGCCTCGGGCCTTTTGATTCTCTCAGCTCACCATGTCAGGCCTTTCTCCTCCCTTAGGCCTCTGCCTCCTTCAGTGGGTCCCCTCTCAGTGTTTTGCCCTGGGCCTCAGCTCCCAGCTGATAGCCCCTCACCCCCAGTCTCCCTTTCTTCCTGCCCTTTCCCTGGCCCAGCTTCTTCTTACCAGACTGGAGCCTCATCCTTGTTCCCAGTCCCCCAGCTCCTTCTGGCCCATCATCTAGTCCCACAGTTACTCTGCCTATTCCTGGCTCCTCAGCTTGGAGAGTGGCCTCACTGGCCCCTGCCCACTTCCCTGCTCTGCCCCAGCATTTCTGGTCTCTTTCCTCCAGCTTCCAGTGAGACCCTTCCTGCCTGGTCAGGAGCTTCTCACTTTTAAGCCAGTTTGTATGTATGTGTGTGTGTTTTGGGGCGAGGAGGGTTGGGGATGTCTTTTTCTTGTCCATGAGTTTTCTTTAAGTGTATTTAAGTTTTAAAATAAAAAGGTGGGGCGCCTGGGTGGCTCAGATGGTTGAGTGTCTGCCTTCGGCTTGGGTCATGATCTCCAGGTCCTGGGATCAAGCCCCACCTTGGGCTCCCTGCTCAGCTGGGAGTCTCCTCCCTCTGCCTCTCCCCCTGTATTGTGCTCTCTCTTTCTCTCTCAAATAAATAAATTTTTTAAAAAAATAAAAAGGTGATTCAACTTAAAATATTTGTAACACATCAGTTATTTTGTGAATGTGATTAAAAATCGTGAAGGTTAGAAGGTGTGGTCTAGCCTCAGAGAGAGGAAAGAGCCTGGACTTTCAGAGAGATGTAGGTCTAATCATGCGCTGCCCCCTACAGGTGTCTTTTGGGTAAAGTAAAAAATTAAAACAAAAAAACCTGAAAAATCCTACCTCTCAGGTTGTTTAAAGGTTTGCACTAGATGAAAGAATGTTTGCAAAGCATCACCCACCACACTAAATAATTGGTGGTCCTTCTTGATATTATCTATTATTAATATGACCAGTGTTGTTTTTAATAGCTTATTAAGCTTGAGAGTTAAATTTGTCATGAGAGTTTTGGTCAAAACATACTAATTAAATCTTTAATTTTCCACCTTGATACTAAAGCATAAATATTCTAAAATGTTCAGTCCAGATTTTGTTTAAGCTGTTATTTTATTATGCATCTATTCAAAGAAGAAGTGAAAAGGAAGTTTAACGTAAAAAAAAATTCCCAAGTCTTATAAATTATTACTGACCTCAGATAATTTAAAAAGAAACAGGCAGGAAGGAATTAAAAGTCAATGTCTTTCACTCTTTCATTTTATAAACAGATACTAAACTATAGGTAGATTGTGAAAATATTTCAAAACAGTGCTGAGATTGATTGTTTTTACTTAAAAATATGACACTTTGATTATTGTATTAGAGCATATAGAATTTTTATTTTCTAATTTTTTAGAGGGAGGAGAGAGAAACTTGTTCCAAAATTTGAGGAAAGTAATAATTTCTTAGAAAAACATATGTTTGAAGATGGCTTTCCAGCAGAAAACCTGACAGTTTATGTGAAACGGACTAATGTGAGTTAGAAATGTGAATGCAAAGACTTCTGTCCACTTCTTACCCTCCCCAAAGAAGACAGGAAGTCAACTCTGGGTGTCTTTAATATTGCTGTATTTGTTGATGTAAATTTGGACTTGGAATACAAATTTCAGTAAGATTACCATCCATTAATATGCATTAGATAGGCAACTATTGGTTCTTTAAAATTATTAATGTAATATAAAGAATAGGCCATTAGTTATGTCAAAGAGAGATAAATTTGCTTTATGTAACAAAGGGAAGTTCTTGAATGTGGTAACTTGAATTTGGATAAATTTTCAACATCCAGATTAATATTAACCAACTCCATAAATTATATCAGCATTAGATTCTTATAAACAAGATCAAGACTTAATTTAATTTTTTTTTAAGATTTTATTTATTCATTTGACAGAGACACAGCGAGAGAGGGAACATAAGCAGGAGGAGTGGGAGAGGGAGAAGCAGGCTTCCTGTGGAGCAGGGAGTCCAGTGTGGGGCTCGATCCCAGCACCCTGGGATTATGACCTGAGCCGAAGGCAGATGCTTAACGACAGAGCCACCCAGGCGCCCCTAATTTAATCTATTTTAACAACAAAATAAATCAACTCCTTGCAAAGAAAAGCTCATAGTTGAAAGCCTTTAGTTTAGAAAAAAAACAAATCATTGTGTTTGCCCTGAGTTATTTTAAAGTTCTTTGTGTGTGGAAGATTGATACACCAAAGTAATTGAATGTCACGTTATGGGCAGCCAAATCAGATTGCAATGAATGAAGCAAAGCAGCCCCCTGAAGGAGATGGGCTTGATGGGGCTGCCAGTGTTGAGCTGAGGACACGCTTTTGAAGTGAGCTTTAAAATAGCACTTTCCGGGGCACCTGGCCAGCTCAGTGGAAAGAGCATCTGACTCTTGGTTTCGGCTTGGGTCGTGATCTTGGGGTCTTGAGTTCGAGCCCCAGGTCTGGCTCCACTCTCAGTGCAGAGTTGGCTTGAGATTCTCTCTCCCTCTCCCTCTGCCCCTCCCGCTGCTTGTGCATGCATGCCCTCTCTCTCTCTCTCTCTCTTAAATAAATAAATCTTCAATAAAATAAAATATCAGTTCCTGGGGTATCTGGCTGGCTCAGTCAATAGAGCATGCTACTCTTGATCTCAGGTTTGTGAGTTTGAGCCCCATGTTGGGTTTAGAGATTACTAAAAATAAATAAACTTAAAACATATATATAGCATAAAATAGCAGTTCCTGTTGTCTATAGCTTGTTAGTTAAGAGAAAAGATGGATTTCCTTGTCTATGCTCACAATTAAGTGTCAAGGGTCCTTGGTATTGTTCCTAAGTGGAGCCCACAGGATTTTAATAAATAGCTTTTTAAAAATTTTATGGAAATATGAAAGATACTACCATAGTACTAGGACTCAAGTATTTTCTCTTAAATGCTGTGAAGTATAGATGGAAATATATTTTATCTGTCATACTTGATGAAGATACTAATAGAGTAAAATAAAATTATTTTTTAAAGATTTTATTTATTTGAGAGAGAGAATGAGCAGGAAGAGGGATGGGGGAGAGGGAGAAGCAAGCTCCTCGCTGAGCAGGGAGCCCAACATGGGACTCAGTCCCAGGACCCTGAGATCATGACCTGAGCCGAAAGCAGATGCTTAACTGACTGAGCCACCCAGGTGCCCCTAGAGTAAAATAAAAGTATTTGAAAGTCCTGCACAGCAAACAGGATTTTCTGATTATATAACCTATTATCTTGACCTTCTTTATAATAATGCACCTTTTCTGGGGCACCCGGCTGGCTCAGTCAGTGCAGCATGTGACTCTCGATCTCAGGGTTGTGAGTTCGAGCCCCATGTTGGGTATAGAGATTGCATAAAGTCTTTAAAAGAAATTATGTACCTTTTTTTAATTAAATAAAAAATTACAATTGTATAAGCTTTGGACTTTGATCAGACATGAAACACGATTAATTCCTTCAGTACCTATTCATTGGGCATCTTCCAACTGATGGGCATTACACCAGTAACTGTGTTATATAAAAGCAGACGAGGTCATTGTGTGTGTGTGTGTGTCCCTGTCCTGTGTTCCCCCCCACCACCACCATTGAGCACATAGCTTAGTGGGAAAGACAGACATCAAATAGCTATATAAATGAATGTAAGATATCAGCCCTGTCATGTGCTACCAGGAGAGGGTTATTGTGCATTGAGAGCACAGAATAGGGTCTGACCTGGCTAAGGGATGAGAGCAGGCTTCCCTCAGGAAGAGCCAAACCACCTAAGATCTTAGGATGATTCAAGTTCACCAAGCAAGGAGGAAGAAAGAATGGTCCAAGCCCAGGGAGCATGAAATGTTCGAAGAACCAAAAGCTACCAGTTTGACTAGAACCCAGAGAACAAAGGGGAGGTTAGAGGCCTTCACAGGGGTCCAACCATCCAGTCTTTGGTTGGGTTTTATCTGCATTCCCAGTGGAAGTAGGGGGTCGTAGTGAAGACAGCACAAACCAGGTGGGTAGTCTTTTGCAGAGAATCAAGTGTGTGCACAGGGCCAGGTGGGGGGTGCGTACCTTCACTGATTGGACCAGCTTCCCTAAGCAGTTCTCTTATTCTGCTTTTTCCAACAGGGTAACTTCTTTCAAAATATTGGTTCCATCACCCTGTTTGCTGTCTTCGGTACGGCAATTTCCGCTTTTGTAGTAGGTGGAGGAATTTATTTTCTGGGTCAGGTAAGAAAAACATCTTTGAAAAATTCTGAAAATCTTACATTCTTAGAGCCAGTGCAGGGAGGTGGGGTAGGGACACTTCGTGGGGCCTGGGTTTCACATTCAAGGTAAATGCTGTCCTGGAAGGAAATCCAAACTCCTACGAGGAACCGTAAAGGCATGCTGAAATTGTTTCTAAGTGTCCTCGAAGAGCGTTGGTGTCTGGAATTGAGTGAATCTTCTCCATAATCCCCGAAAGTTTTTGATCTTATTTGCAAACCAATAATTTCTTAAGACAGAATACTAAAAATAAAGCAGGATATATACCCCCAAGGTCTTCAGATTAAAACAGTATCAGTTGTGTTATCAAGCAGACTGAGTCAGGATTAACCACTGTTTCTTAGTAAAAATTTGTATTTTAAAAATCAAACTTGATTCTGAATATGTTCACTCAATTCTAAGCTGTCCATCCATAGAATTATATACTTTGGATTTTCCACCATTGCTAAACCAGTTCCCAGTGTTCTGTACTTTGAGTTCAAATTAATTTGAATTAATTTAAATCAAATCTACCCAGAAAGGTAATATCTATAGTTTTGCATTCTGCATGTCTATGCATGTCATAGTTCTTTTCCTTTATGGGCACTTGCCCCGGTTCTGTAAACTAATAAGTTTGAGATTCAGGCCTCTGGGTGACTGGCAGGCTTCTTGTGTGTGTGTCAGACGTGTTTGCTTCTCTGGGCAGCTGTTGGCCAAAGCCCACTGCATTTGATTGTCACTTGGACTGCTGCCTCGGTGGCACCAGGATAAATCTGTCTGTCGTGCACCCTTCTTCATTGTGCAGCTTCTAGCATCAAATGGGAATGAACTTAAGAAAACCATACCTAATTTGGCTTGAAAAATGTAGCATTCTGTTCCACACTTTTGTTGTATAATGATTGAATGCATGCTTAAACTAAAACTTAGGAGTTTTATTTTTCAAGTGGTTTGGGGACTGAAGATTAATGTCCTTATTAGTTACTAATAAAACACTAATGGACATTTTAATCTTCTTGGCTGTTCTCCAGGGGTTTTTTTTGTGTCTGTGTGTTTGTGTGTTTTATTTTACAGGCTGATGTAATCTCTAAACTCAACATGACAGACAGGTAAATCTTTAATACTGTCACACCATGTGACTACTTTTCAGACTGGGGATAGTTTTCTCCACATTGATTCCTGGGTGTGGTGTTTCTCTATTCTGTCTCTCTTTTTGCTTTGCTGATGATTTCTGCTGTATTAACTTGTGGCTCTGAAATGAATCAAAACTATATTGTGGAATTTCGAAGATCTCTAGTCAGAGCATTGCTGATTGAAAGACCTGATTTAGTTTAAACTTTGGAGAGAATGACTCTGGTCAGTTAACCACACACTGCATCTTTTATTATCCAGAATCATCTTCAGCTAATTTCTGAGTCTTTTCAGTGGCCACAATGAAAAGTTGTCCTCTTGATAGATTGGGGATGGAGTGGGAAGTGAGGTGTACAGAATCTTCACTCTGGGCTTCCCCTGAAGCCAGGCGTGGGGTAGGGTAGGGGAAGCAGGCAGGGCCAAGGGCTCTACTGTGGATATCTTGCTCAGTCTGAAGCTACTCGAATGAGCACTCTGAGCTGCTATCTCAGAGCCCAGGCCAGCAACCTAGGCCACAGTCTCCTGGATGGTACCAGATCTAGTGCTAAACAAGTGCACAAGCAGAATGCAGCCTGGTTTCCCCTCTCTGAGAAGTCCAGAGCGTGTGCAGCCTTGATCCGTGTTCCTGCACCATCGGCACTTGCTTCTGTGGCCTGGCCAGGGGCTAGAAAGCAAGGCGAGCTCTCGGCCCTGGGTCTCTCCCGTCAGGCCGGCCAGAGCTTTCAGCCTTCAGCAACTTGGGGGCTAGAATCTTGAAGCCCTTTTCATGGGAAATGTGCCTCTGCTACCAGCCAGTCCAATCCCATCTTTCCACCAGGAACATAAATTTTGGAGTTTTTGCTGTAAGGTAGTCCTGATATATAAACAAGTAGCAAAAGTCACATTCCTATTCCATAAGGAGCTGGAGATAAAGCAGAACCGAGGCCCCGCATTTTGCAGGTATTTGCAAGTGTAAAGAAACGTCCCATACCCAGTCACGTAAAGGAAGATGTCACAGCATTCAGTCCTTCAACCTGTTTTGGGCCAACTGGTTAGAGATACAGAAAATGCTGGATAAATTCTTGTGGAATTGAATCGAACCAGTGTTTATTGGGATGTTCAGGGAGAGAGGATTAAAAGAATTGTCCCTTAGACAAGCAGGATAGGAGCCAGGTAGGGTTTCTCGCTCTGTGTGCAGACACTTCCTTTCCTGTTAGAAAGGGACCACCCCCTCACAGGGAGTGCTCTGGGGAAATGAGCCAGCAGTCACAAACACACACAGCCACAGAGCCTGGCCGAGCACTTACCAGAGGGCACTGCCCTTTGCTTCTCGGGGTGACCACAGTGGTGACCGGAAGAGTACACCCTGTCTGAAGGGGACTTCTCAGCTCCACCTACTAATCACTATGTGGGAATATGGGCCCCGAATTACTAAATATTAAAAGAACATTGCAGGGCACCTGGCTGGTTCAGTCGGTTAAACATCTGCTTTTGGCTCAGGTCAGGATCCTCTGGGTCCTGGGATCAAGCCCCGCATCAGGCTCCCTGCTCAGCGGGGAGTCTGCTTCTCCCTCTGCCCCTCCTCTCCCCCTGTCCGTGCTCTCTCTCTCTCTCAAATGAATAAATAAAATCTTAAAAAAAAATTTTTTTCCGCAAGAGGCCAGGTTTCTAGATTTTAATGGTGAATTTTCTATTTTTTTTTTAAGATTTTATTTATTTGAGAGAGAGCATGACAGAGAGAGAGCATGAGCAGGGTGGGGGCAGAGGGAGAGGGAGAAGCAGACTGCCCACTGAGCAGGGAGCCCGACATGGGGCTCGATCCCAGGACCCTGAAGGCAGACGCTTAACCGACTGAGCCACCCAGGCGCCCTTGAATTTTCTAGTTTTTAAATGTTGACAAGTTACTCAGTTTTTCGCCATGTAGGTCAAACCTAAGACCCACAGACGGCTGCACAATAGAAAACATAAAAATAACTTTGTTGCACAGAAGATTTTATCGCGGCCATGGTTCTGTTGGAGAGAGATGTCACTGGTGGGTTCACCTGAGTTATTTCCCCATGCTGGTCTGCTTCCTTTTCACTTGTTGATGTTGCTATCTTTGGAGATGGTAGAATAAATCAGGAAAACACGTTTTTAAGGTGAACTTCTAGCCTCTGGCCTTTTAAAGACCCAGCCACGCAAGTGGGAAGGGGAGCACTGACAGCGCAAGGGCGTGACCCCTGAGACTCCAAGCTCTCGATGACTCGGGTCGTTCATCCGTCAGACTTTTCATGCTCGCTGCCAGGAAGGCTCTGCCCTAATAGAGATCCCTAACCCAAGCTAAATGTGTGCTATGATTTGTGCAAATCATTTCCCCCCAACTTTTTATTATGAAAACTTCAAACATACAGAAAAGGCAAAGCTTATACAGCGGCTACCCAAATGACCACCACCTGGGTTCTACGATTACTGTTTCACTGTATTGGCTTTTTTTTTTTAATTTAAATTCAATTAGCCAACATATAGTACATCATTATCCTGTAGTTTTTGCTTTAACCCAGATCTTTCCATTTATCCATCCCTCTGTCCATTCATCAGTCTGTCTTCTAGTTCCTGCTCTGGTTTCAGTTCGGGTTGCTACAGGGACCATGACAAAGAACATCAGTCAGGCCATTCTGGCACAAATGAAACCCAACACAAGTAGTTTTGGCTGTGGGGCGGTGGGGGGAGGTTGTTGGCTCAGAAGTGAAGCGTTCCGGAATGACAGCTCCCAGCATGACAGCCCCCGGGGCCCACGCTGCCCAAGAATCTCTCCTCTTGTTGCATCTCTGTGCAGTCTTCCCGACTGGCTTCATCCTCAGGCACGCTTGCCCCACACTGGCAGCACCGCCGGCTCTGGGCTCACGGCACCCGCACGTCAGCTATCTATGCCAGAAGGGCCAATTGAATTCCCGAGGACCTGGCGAAATGCCTGGTGAGGGCCCTCTTTGACCAAAGTTGGGTCTCCTGCCCACTCCTAGAGCCCCATGCAACTCTGTGGGGGGAGGGGAGGGGAGGTGTGGCTCCCCAAAGGAAAATTGGGGTGCTGTTCCCAAAACCAGGGGTGTGGATGTGGAGCAGAGAGAACTGTGGCTGTCTGCTCTGCCACCCTGTCCTCGGGAATGGAGCCGCACAAGGTCAGCACCCCGCACACAAGCCACCAAGGGCTCCCCGGTTCCTCCTCCCTCGCCTCTCTCTTTTTGGACATTCAGAAAATGCTTTTTAGACATTGTTTTTCCTTGAGGCCCCTGGTGTTTTGCCCCGGGCTGAGGAGAGTGGGAATTAAAGACAAGGAGAAAAGACAAGCTCTGTGTCCAGGGTGCAGCAGGAGGGCCTCGAGGCCCGCTGCCAGCAAAACAGGGCCCCCCAGGTTGGCAGTCCCTCGGTAGTGTTACCGTTCCTTCTCTCCCTCACCTTCCTCCTCCCCCCACCCTCCTGCCTGCCTTCCACAAATGCCTCTGGGCCAAGCTCAGGACGGATCCTGGGAATATACGCATGACTAAAACGTAGTGCCCGCTCCCTGGGCACTCACAGTGAGGGCGAGAGGCAGGTGACCTGTGACAACTTGTAAGGACTGGGCGGGTGTAGAACTGAGCTCTGAACTGAGACTGTCTTTTGGGGTCTGCTGCTCAGCTTGCGATCCAGAGGCTGTCCTTGAGGTGAGCAGGCTATCTTGCATGGGTTCACATCAATCAAACACAGGGAGCTGCCTTGGAGACCAGAATGCCGGATTACTGACTTAGAGGGCGAACTGTAGCGGGCAAGGCAACCAGGCATCTCCTCCTACTGGCTCTGCTCTCCCTGAGCCCGGACTCACACGATTGTGCAGGGCTGCTGGGGATGGTCCCGTGGACAGAGCCCACCCCCGCCCGGGCAGGAGCACTGACTCTGAGCGAGACGGCCTGTGTTTGGATCCTGGCTCTGCCAGTTCTTAGCTGTCTGACCTTCAACAAGTTACTTAACCTCACTGTCCCTCAGTTTTCTTAATGTGATCGGGGTGGTAACAGTAGCACCCCACGTGGGTGCTGTGTGGAGTAATGAGCTACTACACGTAAAGTGCTCAGAACCGTGCCTGGGACGTGGTAAGTGCCACATAAATGTTGGCTCTCATTATTGGCCTCAGTGCCTGAAACATTTTGGGCAATTGATACCTCTTTCTTGGAGGGAATGACGCCTTCCTGGGCACTGTTAGGGGAAGCTGCTGGCCTGCGGGGGGTTGTCTAGCACCCACGCCACCCACGTCCTTGAAGCACACCAGAGTTGCTGCTGACTGTTGGCACTTTCTGAGACGTCACAAATCTAAGTGGAGGCTACAGCCAGTCGCAGGTGGCACTCTGGTGGCAAGGGGAGAAGCTCCCCCTTGAGCCATCACAGTTCCAGCTGCTCTGACAAAGAAGGCTGGCATGTCTAATGTATTTTAAGCAAAAGTCTCCCCTCCGTCATTGGTCAAATAAAGTGTTGGGACTCACGGTGGAAAACCAGGCCATTCCCATCAACCGCCTGTGGAGCGGGCCTTGCCCTCCCTCACCACAGGGTCCACCAGCACGTACCGTAAGCAGGAGAAGAGACACGGTCTCCTGCCCATATGTACACACAGTTCTAGCGTGTACGAACATGTCAGACCACACATAGTCTCTGGCTCTGCTGTTTTACTGTGTGGGCCAGGCGATCAGTATCGCAGGGTGACCCCTTCCTTTTCTCTCTTCCTTACAGCTTTGCGTTCGGCTCCCTGATTTCTGCTGTCGACCCAGTGGCCACTATTGCTATTTTCAACGCGCTTCACGTGGACCCAGTGCTCAACATGCTGGTTTTTGGAGAGAGTATTCTCAACGACGCGGTCTCCATTGTCCTGACCAAGTGAGTGTCCTTTCTTCAAGGCCAGCACTTAAAGGTCCTGGTATCAGAGGGACAGATGTTCCCGGGTGGCTGCAGGGACGGCTGCTTGCCCTCTGGGCGGCCGGGTCATGCGCTTCTCCGTCTTCTGTCCTGACAAGCCCTGACGCTGCACCCCAGCGATGCTGTCAAGGCCTGGGCTGATCAGAGGCAAGCCCGCCCTTTAGGACCTACCTTTTAGCAGTGGTTTCAAGTCCATCCCTGGGGATGCTTATTAACCGGAGCAGTCCCAGGCCCCACCCTCTCAGCTTCTGATTCATGAGGTTCTTCATTAGCTCCTCAAATGAGGAGGGAGCAGCTGGTTGAGGGATGGGTATGTGGACAGCTTTGGTGCAGACGAAAGCAGTAGACAGAGGCCCTGCTCTCCCACGGAGGGGCTGTCGCCCAGCACCTTCCTTTCCACAGCTGTAGAATAAGCCAGCGATACTAACGGGTCCCAGCTGGATATGACATTGTGTGAAAGCTGCTTTGGACACTGTAAATCTCTTTCAAATGCTCATCGGTATCACTGCCCTTGTTGATAGGATCTGAGAAATGATAGATGAATCCTAAAATGTCAAGAAGCCTTGAGAAAAAGAAATGAATCTAAGGTCATCTCAAATGTATCTATCTAACGCGGGCTGTTTCCTTGAACTCTGTCTTTTGTGGTGCTCATTAGCATGTATAGGCAGGAGATCCAAACAGTTTTAGCAAAACCAGAGAAGGCACAGACAGTCAAAGCAGTGGGAGGAAAGCGCTCTGGACAGTGTTTCACAAATGAGCTAAGAGAATCTTAGGAGCCGGCCTGTGTTCTGCTGAAGAATAGACTTTCCATTATCTGAATACTGACTTGTTTCCTTTTTGGGGGGATTCCTGGCTAAGCATAGCCACTCTGTAGTGGTTGGCATTTTCTTAAAAGCTTTATTATAGACTACATTCAGAATCTTCATGTTGGAGTAAAACAATGTTTTATAGTGGAAGGAACCCAGATTTTGGAAATCAGGCTGACCTGGGTTCAAGTCCCAGTGATGCCACGTACAGCTGTGCGATCCTGGGTTCACTCCTTTACCTCTCTGAGCCACATGTTTCTCAGCAGTAAAGTGAGGGTGATAATGCCTCAGCCTAGGATTGGATTTGAGGATTGAATAAATACGATAATGTATGAGAAGCATCGGACATTAGTTAATGTTAGTTCCTTTCTTCTTCTACGGCTGTCCCCCAGTTACTGTTTCCTGTTTGTCCTATAGTTTTGTCCTACTTTTGCAGAGAGAACTTTAATGTTGCTTAATTGCAAGAGGTGATTAGCAGACCTTAAAAAAAAATACTTTAAAATATTTTTGTTGTTCTAAAAGTAATACATACATTCTTCATATAAAATTTAGAAAACACACAGAGAGAGAGTACATGCGTTATTACTACCCGGAGATAATTACAGTTAACAATTTGGAAGTATACATATGTTTTATTTAGCTGGGCTTATACCCCATATACTGTATTATAACTCTTCCATTGAGCAGAGTTGAAAAATAATCTTCCATAACCTCATTTTACCGGTTACAGAGTATTCCTTTCTGTGAGCTTACTGTGATCTGTTTAGCAAGTTCCTCACTATTGGCTTTTTCACGTTTCTCTTGGCAAAGATTTCTATAGCTTTATTAGGCAATTATCATACATCATGCTGTAAGACCTTTTTAAAAATCTGATGGCAATATTTTTTCTTACTTAAGATCTACCCTGAAAGCCTTTTTGCTTTCGGGTTTTGACTTTTGTCTCGTGTCCTGGTGCTGCACGTATTGAACATTTGTGATAAAGAATTTTGTCCAAATTGGTGGTGACATCATGAGTTATTTTTATCCATCAGGAGCTCAACTCAAGTGCTTTGTCTCTAATTTATTTTGTTTTTAAAAATCTGTCAGAAGTAGGACCTTTTCTGAGCTTCTCCAGGACTCTTTGCCACAGGAAGGTTAAAGATGAGGAGCTATTTTCTTCTGAAAATGAGAAAAGATAGTCACTGTAAACAGCCAAAGTTTCTTCCTGGAAAAGTGCTGCTTTTGAAGGCCAAGATCGCCTGTGATGACAGTTCCCAAAACTGGATCTGTGGGCCGCATGCATATGTAGTGTCCAACCCCCACCTCCACCACTGCTGGTCTACAGGCTGGGGTGGGGCATGATAAAGACTGGCTGTCCACCTTCAGCATCTGGCGAGGGCCCTCCACGTGCCAGACATCACTCAGAGACCAGCTGGACTTGCCAAGGTCAGTCCAAGGTGGGAGAAGGATGCTCCCAGAGGGGTGAGCGCAGTGCCTGGAGTACAGGAGGGAGACAGCCGCTCTGAGGGATTGGAGTGAGGCTTCTCAGCCAAGCTGTCTTGTGAGACGGTAGGCATTTTCAGGTTGGAGAGACAGAGGGGGCATGGTAGGCCTGCCTCTTTTGGGGGGCGGGGGAGCAGTCAGTACAGGAGGGGGCTGTTGTCAGCCTTCCTTGGTTATTAGGTAGACTCACATCTTGTTTGAGAGTCTACTTCATAAATGATCGCTCCCAAAGCGACCCGACACATTTATCTTTGCAGCTGAATGTGTGAATGAATTATACCCCTTTTTTGATGTTTTCATTTTCGTAAGTGCCAGAAAGCTATCTTCTGTTTCTTCATTAACTTTAATTAAATTAGTTTTAGCTTTGATTTGTTAGTATGACAATTTATTCTTATAATAACTGCTATAGAGGAAACCTTTTTTGTCCTCTTGAGCTGCAGTGTAAGCTCATGAAATGGATCCTGAAGCAGCATTTCCTCGTGTTCTTTTAAGTGTGAGAAACAAAAAATGTTGAAATTGACCAGGCCAGAAAGAGTCCAGATTCTACTTTCAGTTCTCTTGAGTTCAGAAACTGTTGCCCTCTGTCCTGGGTCTGCTGTCAGCCCTTGATGCGACCTCACCAGGGAGTCACTTCCGTGGGGCCTCTGCGTGAAAAGAAAGCAGTGGCCCCAACCGGTGGACCAGCCGTGGCGGCTTTAAGGGGTGGGGGCTGGGCACTGTGTGCAGGCGGCCTGCAGATCCATTTGGGAACTGTGGGCAAGCTTAGCCTTCGAAAACACTTGCCCAGTGAGAACCCTTGTTGGCTCACCGCACTCCCCAAGGTGGGGTGTTAACCTGTGGTCTGCTGGAAAAGTAGGGGATGTAGGAGGTTGTGCATTCAGGTGAGTTTGGAAAACTTCTATGTGAAAAAAGATAGATTTCTTTTTTTTGCAGGACTTTTCAGAACGTTTATTATGTTACACTGTGCTGTGAATCGCCCCTGAAAACTTCCTGAGGTTATTTGACCAAGCAACCCTTTTATCAGAGATTATCCTGCTTTAAAATTATACCAATTCATGAAACGCTGATTAATGAAGCTAAATATTTCTATTGACAATCTTTGTTTTGTTTACTGATTCAGCAAAAATTTACTGAGTATCTTTGTATACTAGGCTCTGCCTTAGGCCCTGGACATGTAGCAGTGAACAAGGTGGACACAGGCATGGTCCTCATGAATGACTCATGAGCTGGCACTTGCTGTGAAGAAGTCAGGTACCAGGAGAGAGTAGACGATGTGAAGGGGTCAGGGCAGGTGTCCCTGAGGAAGTGACACTGACCCTGGGTTCTGAGGAACAAACTGAGGAGTTAGCTGGGGCCAGGGAGCAGTGAAAGATGACCTACAGAGGGGTGCCCATGACAGTGGAGCCCTTCCTGAATGAGGAGGAGAGAGGGTCACAAGGTATGGCGGACAGAGGGGTCAGGTGTTGCTTTGGCTGGGCTTCCCCCTGAAAAGCAGTAAGAAACTGTTGATAGGTTTGGACAGGCCAGTAACCCGATCAGATTGTGCATTTTATTTTATTTCATTTTATTTTTTAATGATTTTATTTATGTAACAGAGAGAGAGAGAGAGAGAGAGAGGGAACACAAGCAGGGGGAGTGGGAGAGGGAGAAGCAGGCTTCCCGCCGAGCAGGGAGCCCGATGCGGGGCTCGATCCCAGGACCCTGAGATCATGACCTGAGCCGAAGGCAGTCGCTTAACCAACTGAGCCACCCAGGTGCCCCAGATTGTGCATTTTAAAGGGATCATCCAGGCCAGTGAGTGGAAGGAAGACAAGGATGTTTGGAAAGAGCGATGAGGCATAAGGTCCGGGACAGAGGATGGTAAGGCGAGAGAGGGAGAGAAGTAGATGGATTTGAGAGGTAGTCTGAAGGTAGAATCCATTAGCAGGAGGATCTTTAATGAGAATCACTCCATTGTCATCGTGTAATGGTTTTCCCTTTGGGGATAAAACCATTAATTGAATTTAATGGCTTCTGACATTTTACTTTGTTTTGTTATCCTGGAAGGAAAGTTCTTTCAGTTCTTCTTCCTAATGCCTCCTAAATCTACTCTCTCAGCCCTTACCCGGTGACATTTCTTCTTTAGGGTTGCTCCATTCTCAGATTTTCTGCCATCGCTTCAATTCCAGGTTTTATCACAGGATCCTCCCCCGCCCCCTTCTCCCGACTGGAAGCACTCCCCATGGTTCCCTGGGGCCTTCGGGGTGAAATACCAACTCCTTAGCTTGGTCCATTGCCTTTCACAGGTCCGCCATAGCGGCTGGTCTTGCCTTTCCTCTTGCCACTATTCTCCCCACCGGGGCCTCCACCCCATCCCATTCCTGGGTTCTAGCCATGCTAAGCTACGTAATTGAATGCTCCCAGAATGTGCTCTGCATTCTTGGGCTCCCTGCCTCTGCCTGTGCTGTTCCCTCTGCCTGGGACACTTCCCCTCATTTCTTCACCTGTTAACTCTTCTTTTTCTAAATCTGAACCCAGCCCACATGTCAGGGGGAACCTTCCTTGACCACCACCGGGCTGAGTTAGATGCCCACCCTGTGTTTCTGCAGCCCTTTGCCTTACCCCGAGGTGGTCATTTGCTCTCACCTTGTTTGTCTTCCTTACCAGATAGAAGGAGCCCTTGCAGGGCAGGGACTCTGCTCTCCTCTCTGAATCCGCCCCCCTCCAAAAGCTAACACAGTAGGTTGTTAGTTCACGAACTAGGTGAACAAGTAAGTGACCTAACCCAATGATGGAAGGAATAAAGGACCGCATAAACAAACAAACAAAAAAAATCAGTTTTGAGTTTTAGTTGACTTCTGATAACTTTGTCTATAACATTTTAACTTCTTTCTGTTTTTCTTTTATTTCCTAGCACAGCTGAAGGTTTAACGAGGAAAAATATGTCAGATGTCAGTGGGTGGCAAACATTTTTACAAGCCCTTGGCTACTTCCTCAAAATGTTCTTTGGCTCAGCGGCACTCGGCACCCTCACTGGCTTAATCTCTGCATTAATATCCTTTTAATATGTTGAAGACACATGGCTGAGAAGATTTTCTTAATTATATTCTCCAACCATTTTCCCCTCCTCCTTAAGGGGCCAGTTTTAGTCTAAGGCTGCGTTTGAAGAAGGACCTTTATGTAGTTTTGGTTTGAGGAGCACTTTCACTGAAACCCAAGGACTTTTAGATGTGACGTGTGCAATTTAGGATGTCATTTTTCAGAGCGTCATGGTCACGCACACCATTGGCTCTCAGATCCCACCGTTGGGAGAGCTCACTTGAGAAGATTTTCAGGTTCCCCTGTCTCACTTTTCACAGTCAGAAGACTGGAAATTAATTTCCTCTTAATGACCAAATTGAGAAAGTCTTTACCCCACTGAAAGTGTTTATCTGGGGGACCAGTAAAGAGACTTTCAAAATGAGTCCATCCAAGGTACCCGCGCTGATTGCACTGCTCAACGGCCCATACGCTTTTCTAGCCAAGGAGGAACGAGGCTTGTGAAGGCCAATGACACCTTCATTGCTGTAGAAAATTTGTCATGTTTAAAATAGGAACAGGCACCAGACCGTTTCTGTGGGATCCCAAGCCTGTGTCTCAGGGAGTTGGCCACCTGGCCCTCCTCCACGAGCAGTTTGTTCCACAGATGGCCGGAAGAGCCACCCTTGCCTGTGACGGGCCTGCTCGTCTGCCGTCGTGTTGAATTTTCCCTTCACCTCCTTTGTCCAGAAGTCTAGAGGCTCTATTGTTGGCTGACAGCTTCTCATATTGTAGCAATAAACAGAGTGGGAAAGAAAACTTTTTCGAGTTCAGTATTTACCTCCATATTTATCTTTCTCTTGGGGGAGAGGGGATGGAGAAGCATTGGCTGTAAGGAAGCCAAGTCGCTGGGCACTGCGAGCCCCAGCACGGGTGTGTGGGCTGTATTTGAATAGAGAGAAGATTCTCCTTTCACAGGAGCATGAGTTTGGAAGTCTCCAGGAATATGAAAGGAGGTCCTTCAGTGGGGCACTTTACCCCAGAGTTCTGCACACTCCGTTAGCTGTCTCATCTGATGTTGGAGGAAGGGGGGAAAGAGTGACACGGCCTTGGAAGGGACCTGGCAGCATGGGCTGTCCTCCGGCTGGCTGTGGCCCCAGCTTTGCCCCCGCAGCCCCGGCACGTTACCAGCCTTCCCAGTCAGCGTTTTTAAGTGAGTTGACTTGGGTTGATTTTAATTTTTCGCCCACTATTTGTCTCAGGAATTTACAGTTGTTAGTGTTTTGTCAGATTCCCTTTCTTAAAACAGCAGTCTCCCTGCAAAGAAAAAGAAAACAACAATGGATCTTCACATGTTACCCTAGGATGTTCCAAAGCCTTTCGGATCCATTGCCTACCCTATGTATTTGGAAGGCAGCAGTTTTGTGACTTTTCTGCATCTCCCATCAACTGTCCCTTGGTTCTTTTTCCTTGACAACTGTTATTTACGTGCTAAAGCATATTGACTTGAGGAAAACGCCTTCTTTGGAGTTTGGCATGATGATCATTTTTGCTTATCTTCCTTATGGGCTTGCAGAAGGAATCTCACTCTCGGGTAAGTGACAGAAACATTAACTTCTGGGGTTGATGGCACGTTGTCTTGCCTTTTGAAAGAGGTTATGTCATTGGGGTCACTTTCAATCACAAGAGACAGTCACAACTCAGAAGAGCTTAAGCAACAAAGGGGATTTACTGGCCCTTTAGGGATACCTCTGAATTTAGACCTGGCTGGATTCAGGGGCTCAGTGTTGTCATGGTCACATTTTCTCTTCGCCCACCCCCTGTAGCAGAGATCAAAATACCACTTCCAGTGTTGTCTCTTTCCCAGAACAAGGCCTAAAAGGGCCTTCTTCACTCAGAGGATGGGGTCAGACTGCCAAGGGCGGTCAGTCCCCTGGCCTGGCCCTGGGCCGTGACCCCCCATTGATCTGCATTGTGTCACGATAGTTTTGCCTACAAATGAAATCACATAGTACATAGACTTTTGTGTCTCCTTTCTTTTAGTTACCATAATGTTGTTGAGAGACATCCATGTTTTTGCACGTGTCAGTACTTCATACATTCTTACTGCACCACATTTTATTCGTTCATTTGAAGGACATTTGGGTTTTTCCAGATTTTAGCTATGAATATGTGTGCATGTTTTCATTTATCTTGGGTAAATACCTAAGAGTGAGGTTGCTGGGTCATATGGTAAGTATATATTTATTAGAAACTGCCAAGTGTTTTCCAAAATGACTGGGCCATTTTGCATCCCCACCAGAATGCATGAGACAGTTCTAGCTGCTTCCTGTCCTCATCAACACTTATTTTAATTTTTAAAGGTTTAGCCATTCTCATAGGTGTGTGGCAATTTGATTTTGATGTACTTTGGTACAATTCTCTTTATAGTCCACTTGGGGTTCATTGAGCTTCTTGGGTTTATAATTTATGAGGTTATAGCTTTTCACCAAATTTGGGAAATTTTTACCCATTTCTTTAAACCCTTTTTTCTGTTCTCCCATCTCCTCTTCTGTTGGGACTCCAGTTACTGAAATTATGATCGACAGCATTCTATCATCCCGTAATACACTTTGCCTTTTTAAATTTTTTCAGTCTTTTTTTTTTCCTGTCTCTGCTTTACTTTGGCTCACGTCTCTCGCTCCGTCTTGTCCCCGGATCTTTTCTTCTGCCATGCCCACTGTCCTGTTAGCCCCATCCAGTTTATTTTCCACTTCAAATGTGTATTGTTCATCCACGGGAGTTCCCTTTAGGCCATTTTTATATCATCCATTTCTCTCCTTACCGTGTTCATGGTTGTCCCTACATTCTTGAGCATCTGGAACATGCTTATAACAGCAGCTCTAACATACTTATTTGCTAATCCCATCATCTCCGTCAGTTCTAGGTCTTCTTCTGTCAGTTCACTTTCCTTTTGTATATAAGTCATTTTGTCCTGCCCTTGGCTCGCCTACTAATTTTTCATTGAATGCCAGTCATTGTAAACTTCATTATGTTGTTGAGTACTGGCTTTTATTATATTCTTCATAGAATTTTGGATTTTCTTCTGTCGTGTATCCAAGTTTCTTGGCATCAGTTTAATCCTTTTGAGGTTTACTCTCAGACTTTGTCAGCAGGTCCGGAGTAGCCCTAGGAAGTAATGCAGTGCCCTTCCAAGAACTCTACCTCCTGTCTGCTGCTGTATTTCAAGGTCACCCCACTCTGGCCTGTGGGAACACAAACTTCCCAGCCCTGTGTCTGCTTCGGGAATTGCTGGCCTGTTCCTTACTAGTAATCGTCTCCCTAGCCTCTTAGGATCTCACCCCACATGTGTACAGATCAGCACAATGCAAGATTCAAGGGGACACTATGGTAGCTCTCCAGAGCTCTCTTTCTGTGCAGCCCCCCTTCTCTGGCATTCTGGCTGCTTCAGGTCCCTCGGCTCTCATCTGTCTCCTCTTCTCAGCTAGACTTGACTCTGCTGGGCTGGGGTTTGGAGTTCCCCTCCCTAAGCCTCAGCCCGGAAGCTCTGTCTGGGCAGTAAGCTAGGCCGGGGCCTGGAGCAGGAGTGGCCGCTTTGTTTCCTTTCTGTCAGGAATGTTTCCCTTCTGACAGCCCTACCCTGCAGTACCCAGCGTCAGAGGGCAGTTTCATTTCATATCTTCGATCAGGTTTTCTAGTTGTTTATGGCAGGACAGCAGTTTGCAGAGCAAAGTGGAAGTCCCCGGTGGTTTGCAATGACTCTGTTGAGCAGAATTCTCCTTCCCTGCAGATGGTTCTCTAGAATTACACGCGGGTACTCGGTGAGCAGATCCTGCCAAGGAGGAAGCGGAGAGGACTCTGGCCATTTTCACTGGAGAACTCTCTGTAAACCTTATGGTTTTGTTTGTTCTTAATGTGATTTGTTCCCAAGCCAGTTCTCTTGGATAATTTCATCCCAGTATCTGCCATCGAGTTCCTTCTCTTATCTTTCCTGAATTTTGGCACTTACATAAACATTACCTTTGAGTCATTTGGCTCTAGCCTGGCTATTTTTACCTCTGTTTTTCTAAATTGTTCCCCACCCCTTTGAGATGAACACTGAGTACCTGGTGGCAAAGATACATTTCATGCATCCATTTGGAATTTGTGATTAAAACCAGGGAATGTTTTTCTTGTCTTCAGAGCAGCAGTGTTTTCTGTTTCACTTTTTTGAGGGCCTTTGCGAAACACGCCAGTGGGCAGTGAGGCCAAAGACAGCACATGCGAGCCACGAGCATGCTCGGCCACCTCTGGGCAGCCGGCTGGGCTCTGCCCATGTTTGTCTTTGGGATATTTGGCACACAGCGTTTTCAGACAAGAGTAGGGTAGTGCTGGGGTGTCGTGAGGACCTTCGAGTCCCACCGTGAGGATACAGCGGGAAAGGTGGGGTTTGCTACCCCCCTTCCTTTTCCTGCTGTACTTTTCCTGTCGCAAAGGACTGAGGGAGCGGTTACCGAGAACACGGGGCAGGGTGCTGTCCTCCGAATCACGTGTTTAGGACACAGCGGTTAAGGACGCCGGACAGACCAGGGTTTGAATCTCTGCCCCGCCTCTCATTAGCTGTGTGACCTCACACAGTCGACTTAACCACTCTGAGCATCCACTTCCTCCTTATGAAATAGACGTTTAAAAGGGCCACCCTAGGGCCGGTGGTCGAGGGTTAAAGGGAACGATGTGAGTAAGAGTCCTGACAGAGGCATGCTGGGGTGACACGTCCTGCTGGCCCTAACACCCCCAACATGTATTAACGACACCCCCTTTCACTCACAGACATCCTGGTTTCAACAGCAAATTAAATAGTCCCTCTGACTATGAGTTAGTAAGTGTTAGCTATTCTCAGAATCTTTGTTCGAATTCTGTCAGTGTTAACTGGTCTTTTCACTGAGGCCAGTTTCAAGGGCCACTTTGCCCTCTGGCTCTGAAGATTCAGGGTTGACTAGACCCCACCTTTGCCAGTTCAGCCAACAGTGGCCTGAGGGAGGGCGATTGGGGCAGAGCGACACACTGTCATGGTGAGTCACAGAGGATGGGACGTAACCTCTGTGTCAGGTGGGGGAGATGTGGGCCAAAGGTAGAGCGTGCTGTGCAGCTCTCCCGAGCTCAGGGGCACAGCCAGGGGTTCCTTTGCAGCCCTGCCTGTGGGAGAAAAACTGCAAGCCACTAATGCTAGGAAAGATGAAGTACATTTGGGTCGGTTCTCAGTGTGGAATTCTGTGCAGCCACCGAATAAATGAATTAGACCTATTTGTGCTGCCATGGAAAGAAGTCTAAGATATATTGCCAAATTTTAAGGAAAAAAAAAAACTGGAAAACCATTTATTCATCCATTCAACAAATACTTACTTATTAAATGCCTACCCTGTGCCAAGAACTGTCCTTGGTACTGGGGCTGTCCTTAGTAAACAAGACCAGACGAGGTTCCCACCTGCCAAAGAAAGATGGCAAGCAAGTAAGCAAACACACACGGTAATTTCAGGTAGTGAAGAAGTGACAGGAAGGAGAAAAATCAGAGCAATGTGACAGTGGCATGGGGGCAGGTGCATCATGCGGTAGGGGGTCAAGGTCTCCCCAAACAGGTGGTGCCTGAGCTAAGACCTGTGTGGTGAGAAGGAGCCAGCCAAGGGAGGACCTGAGGCAGCAGTGCTGAGCAGTGCTCAGCATCCAGATCGCCGTGAGGGAGCTTGGCACACTCCAGGAAGAGCAAGAAGACCAGTGTGGCTAGGACAGAGGGGCAGGGGCCCTGGCCGGCAGGGTTCTATAGGCCCAGGAAGGAATTGGGTTTCTGTTACATGTGCAAAGGTAGGTTAAGTGTTTGAGGCCTTTGAAAAATCCCTCTGCTGGTATTCCATGCTGCATACATAATGTGATCCTCCTATTTTGTGCTTTTTAAAGGCAGATGAGCTTTGTTATAGCATGGGCAAAGAACTGGCGGCCTATATGGGGAACTGTTAATAGTAGTTCCCTTGGGGTAAGGCAGTGTGAATGGAGAGTCTCTGACTCTATACCTCTGAGTCTGGATGTTTTGTAGCAAAATAGTTTTATTTTAAGGTAATTAACAAAACTAACTGTGGTTTGATCCAGCCTTCGGGAAGTTCATCATATTTTACCCACAGTAAGGTGCAATACAGTGGAAGTTATACCACGATAGACACCCTTCACCTGCCTTTGGACTTGAGTCTCTATTCATCATCATTGTTCGTGACATTTAAAATAGTGGATTTAACTGAAACTAGAAATGGATTTCCTCCCTTCCTCCCTTCTTTCCTTCCTTCCTTCCTTCCTTGATGATGACCATTTTGCTGTGCTGTTATCTACTTCCTCAAATGATTTTGCCTTCTAGAAGAAATACATGTGTCAGGAATTCTTCCTTATAGGGCATTTTTTAAAATACCCATGCCTTGGAGCGCCTGGGTGGCTCAGTCGGTTAAGCGTCTGCCTTTGGCTCAGGTCCTGATCAAACCCTGCTCAGCAGGGAGTCTGCTTCTCCCTCTCCTCCCTCTGCCCCCCACTTGTGCTCTATCTCTCTCTGTCTCTCATAAATAAATAATGTTTAAAATAAAATAAAAGAGGGGCACCTGGGTGGCTCAGTTGTTGGGCGTCTGCCTTCGGCTCAGGTCATGATCCCAGGGTCCTGGGATCAAGCTCCGTATCGGGCTCCCTGCTAGGCGGGAAGCCTGCTTCTCCCTCTCCCACTCCCCCTGCTTGTGTTCCCTCTCATTGTGTCTCTCTCTGTCAAATAAATAAAATAAAATAAATAAAAAATAAAATACCCATGCCTTTTAGCTCTACAAGTGAGCCTGTTCGCACCATTTACCCATCGGTGTTTTCACAGCCTGTGTGGTGGCAGCTATAGTGGATGAAGGTGGTCTGGGTGGTGGTGAAGCTTGGAGAAGCTACCTTTGCTGAGAGAGGGCTCATAGGGCAGACACTTGAACTGTCCTTCAGGCTTTCGCATCCACTGCTGATGCTGCTGACTCTTTGCTTTAGCCCCCAGAACTCAAGAGATGCCCTGGCCTCAGACTAGCCTGGGGTAAAGGTGGTGGCTGGCTGTTTGTAGGGTCCAAACTCAGCCTCCAGAGGGCGGTTGTTATCTGTACAGAAAATTTGTTAACATTTGAGTTATTTGCCGTCATTAAAAGCTGGGAGATTTCCCATAAGAAACATTTCTGGCATCTCTCCAAAAGCCGTAAGGAAGACTGGCTGGTCAGCATTTAGGTCTCCCATCCACAGGGCTGCGGGCAGAACTTTATAGATGGGCTTATGCCTTCTTCGCCCACATGTTGGTCACCTTTCTTTTTTCTTTATTGTCTGGCTCCTGAAGCTTCTGGGTTTCCAGCCCTGGCCTAGCGTACCAGACTGACCCAGCCAGCCAGACCCCTCCTGCACTGAGCCTGCCCCCTGCTGCAGAGTGCTGAGGCAGGATGCACCGGAGGGTGGGCAGGAAAGCTCCCTGGCACTCCGGCAGTGGGTGCTGGTGTTCAGTCCCGAGGCAACTTTCACTGTCACCTCTGACTTCCCAGAGCTTTCCAGAGAGGTCATTTCGTGTTGGGACTCCTGTGGGCGGGACAGCAGTGTCGATGGAAGGCCACTCGTGTCACAGCCTAAACGTGGCTCAGGCACCTCTGGGGTTGACTTTTACATCAAGGTAAGAACTCCAAGGTCTCAGCTTTGCCAGTGACTTGATCACCCTTCTCAAAGCGAACAAGTGAGAGAAAACCCTTTGGAAGTGCAGAAGCTAGGAACTTTTCGCCCTGGACGGTGATGCTAAGGATCAAGTCCATAAAAACCGAAGTGTGTCCGTGCTGCTTTTGAGCCTCAGCTTGCTCATCTGGACACCGGGACTAACAGCACCCCCTCACGGAACCGTCGGGGTCGTGAGGCTAAGCCACGTGCAGTGCCCATCACGGGCCTGGGCTGAGCTGGTGTGAGCTGTCCCTCTGCCGTTCGATGGGGTTCCAGTCTCAGGTTCTGGTCTCTTCCCTTCTGTCTCACACTGCTCTGCCTTCCCTGTATTCTGTGGCAGTGTCAGGAAGGGTCAGCAGTCGGGGGCGGGGGGGAGTCTCGAGACCCCCAGTGCCTGCAGGAACATACTGGGAGAACAGCCGGAGGTCCTGGTGTGTGTGTTCTTATCTAGCAGAGCAACAGCTCACAGCGTCTCAGGAGCTGTAGTCTTCCCGGTGCCCTCAAGGATCACGGAAAGCCTGCCCTCTCCTTTCCCTATCCCGTCTTGTCAGGTGTGCCCCTGGGAAGCATTGCTGGAATGTTCCCTGGCCAGCCTCCTCAGCAGGGAAGAATGAAAGAACACAGGAATTTGCCATTCACACAAGGGGGCGGGCCTGCCCTTGGTGGGGTGGGGCATGTCGTTGAGACCTCAAACTGAGCCCTTGCAACGGCTCCGATGCAGTTGGGTGGTTTTCACCCTTTCCAAATGGAGAGTCAGCCAGGCATCCCTGTCTCTACGAAGTGGCAGGAGTGAGCTACAATTTTGCTTATGAGTTTTTGCTCGTAATCCATACATTTTCACAGCTTATTTAATGAGTTTGTAAAAATCTCATCTTCCTTACGTGAAAATGAGGCCCCTTTCCTGCTGCCAAGGCAGGGCAGCATTGAGAGGTAACTAACCCATCTGTGCGAAGCACTTTGGGAGTGATTAGGGGCAGTGGGCCATGCAGAGATCAATCCTGAGTGAGCAACAGGAAGTGTAGACTCACGTGGAGAGCTTTCAGGAAAAGACACAGATCCTTTTTTAGTCACTCCTCTCTTTATAAGAGGAACTCGTGGTGATTAAGGGAAAATTTTTAAAAAAAAGTAAAAATCCACCCATTCTCCACATCCAGTTTCTTACGCTCCCTTTCTGCCCCAAGAGTGGTTCACCTGCACCCCTTCCATCCGTGGGTGACAGTGACAGCTCGCATCTGCTCAGCCCGGGGCCTGTGGTGGGCAGTGTACATGGCTTATCCCTATTACCCTCCTGACAGGTCCAGAGAGGGTGCTGTTAGTCCCACTGCCCAGATGAGAAAGCTGAGGCTTGGAGAGGGAAGGAAGCTTGGCCCAAGGTCACCCAGCCAGTAAGGAAGCTGCCAGAGACAGGGGCCCCATAGCATTTCTCTGCGGCCTCTGGGAGACCTCAGGTAGTACTTTCTTCCCCTTTTCTTTTCCTTTTTCTGAAAACATGTACCACTCTAGGGCCCAGTGACTTGTAGAAAATGTGCGATATTATTTGTGTATCACATAGCAGGTGCTTTTCTGCTCCGTTCATGTCTGTGTGCTTTGCCTCTTTGTCCTTCTCTAGGCATCATGGCCATCCTGTTCTCGGGCATCGTGATGTCGCACTACACGCACCATAACCTGTCCCCGGTCACCCAGATCCTCATGCAGCAGACCCTTCGGACCGTGGCCTTCCTGTGCGGTGAGTTCTGCCTCTGTGTGGTCCCGCGCGGGCCTGCGCCCAGCCCGTCGTTGAGCCGCACCCTGTTGTCCCGGCAGGAGAGGCAGCAGAATCCCCAGAGCCAGATGCTTCTCTCCCTTATCCTTTGTTTACTAGTCTGGCTTTCAAATTCGATAACGTAAACCTAACTCCTGATAACTTTCTGGAACATTGGACTTCTATAATTTTAAGACCAAAAATAATGAGAACTACTAAACATGAACATTGGAGACCGATACGTTTTAAACGTTGTAAAGTTTGAAAATGTAAACATTTCCAAAAATGTGTCCCCTGGCACTGGCATCAGTGAGGGTTAGGTGAGACAAGACTCCACAGTCAAACAAGAGTCTGGAAAATCCTGGGGGATACACACTTCCAGTTTGGGGGCTGCAAGAGCACCGTGAGCTGACGCACATTGTGAGTTGCTGAGAAGGGGACAGCGTTACAGCTTTTTCCCAGCTTGTCCACAGGCCCCTTTCCCCGAGAGTGGCTCAAAGGGCGTAACTCGCGTGCCTGTGTGCTAGCCCTGTCATGGCTGGACGGGGTCCACCGCGGAGACTCTTTCTGTTAAGCAGTTTCAGTGTGAGCTTTTGCTCCCCCACACGCTGCTGTACCCCCCGCCTCCTCCCTGGTTTATACCTGGCAGCGAAGGATGTGCTCTCCCACAGTCCCCTTCCGCCGGCCTCCTGGTGGCCGTGCCCTAGCTGTCCTCAGCAGCATCTCCCTGGCGCTGCGGCGGGGTTCGTCTCATTTTCCAGCACTGGTTCTGCATTGTCATGCGCTAGGCGACCAGGGTGGGCCGCGCAGAGGCTTCCTTCCGCAGCCAAGGGGGCTCAGGTACCCAGAGGTCAGATGACTTGCCCACAGGCTCATGGCTAAGAAGTGAGTTTGGATTCCAGGTCTGTGTCTTCCTGGTCCAGGGGGTCTTTTTTCCACAGCTCCCCACTCACAAAGTCCTAGCTAAGGTCTCTGAGCCCGACTGTCACAATTAAAGGGATATAAAGCAAAACACCCAACTATTTTGTACCCATCAGACTGGCACGTCTCAGTTTTGCTAATACGCACTTCCAGCACAAGCATATGGGAAGCAGGCCCCGTTGACAGGCGCAGGCCCCGATGCCATCTTTTGTGGCGAGTCATTGCAGCATCAGGCTGGGTTTCAAAGCCGTGTGCTCTTTGACCCAGTAGAGCTACCCTCGGGAACAGAGCCTGGGTATTTGCTGTAACTGGTAATATCAGCAGTAGAAACAGCCTCAGTGTCCATTGACACGGGATTTGTTAAATTAGCCATGACATACCGATACGATGGATTTTATGCCGCCCGGGAAAAGCATAACATAGATCTGAGTATGTTCTAAACGAGCTGATTTGGAAAGATCACAAAAATGTTTATTAGATAAGAAAAAAATTCAAGGAGAAGGGTGTGTGTACTATCCAGCTTGCGGACTTGTTTTAAAAAGATACATGTTTAGAGAAGAACATGGCTGAAGTGTTTTATTTATTTTTTAATAGTTTTTTTTTTTAAGATTTTATTTATTTGACACACAGAGAGACATAGCGAGAGAGAGAGAGAGCACAAGCAGGGGGAGCGGCAGGCAGAGGGGAGAAGCAGGCTTCCTGCATGAGCAGGGAGCCCGATGTGGGGCTCAATCCCAGGACTCTGGAATCATGACCTGAGCTGAAGGCAGCAGTTTAACCAACTGAGCCACCCAGGCGCCCCTGAAGTGTTTTAAAACAGCCTCTCTGTTTTATCATGTTCAACTATTTTAAAATACAGTCCTTGTCTCCCTGATTATTAGCCTATTCTGAGGGACGTCACAGTGTTAACAGGGAGCCTAGTGCTAGAAATTCATACGGTGCTTTTACACGAGCACCTGTTTGCCCAGAGAGTAGGTGTCGGACTCTTTCTGACTTGTGGAGTGAAGCCAAGGGTTGGAAATACCCCTCTTCCTGCAGATCCTGCGGGGACAAGCCCGTCTTCCAAATCTGTGGCAGCATCAAATGCGTGAAGTCACTCATTTAGCTTTGGTCGCCCTGGCAAGGAAGTTAACCGAGGGCCCTTTTCACACTAGTTATGTGGTACCTGCAGTCATTTGCTCTGAATTTTTGCCACTTTGCTGCAGTTGGGATCCTTGCTAATGACTGTTCGACAAATGGGCAGATTCATATATTTATCATCTTCCCCGGTGGGAGAGTATTTATTTGCATGGGTATTTGACAGCTGGATCGTTAAATGAGATTCTGAAAAAGCAAGCACGTGTGGCTCATGTGATAGAAGAGAACGAGCAAATCAATGCACAGTCTCCACCAAGGCTTTGGGTGCAGGATTTTTCAGAAAATAAGCAAGGTGTTATAGTGGATTCTGACTCACTGTGAAATGTTTGCTTGCTTTAGTGATCGAGTACCATGTCAGAAGAAAATAGTTGGGGCTGAATAATCCATTCTTTGGTTTGTTTCAGAAACATGTGTGTTTGCATTTCTTGGCCTGTCCATTTTTAGTTTCCCTCACAAGTTTGAAATTTCCTTTGTCATCTGGTGCATAGTAAGTATTTTCCTTGTTTTTTATTTAATTACTTATTTGTAGATCAATAACCACATGTTCTGGATTCATTTATGTAACTGTTAACTGCTCAAGGTCAACAGCTACATAGACACTCTTCTGTTTAAAGTTTCTTTTGTTAAAGAATCACAAACATACGATAAAGGGTAAGTGAATGAATATCCTTGGAAAAGAATTTTTTGCTTCTTTTTAAATTTTAAATGGCCTTAAAGGTTATGGTCTTCTCCAAAAAGTACAAGTTTCTGTGTTTCTATGTTAGATGGTAAAAGCAGCTTTCAGAATTGAACGCAGAATTGATCATAACCATGTAAAAACATCATGTGTAAAAAAAAAAATGTAAAAAATATAGCACAATGTTCACAGCGATTGTAGAATTGGGGATGACTTCTTTTCGTTTTCTACTTTTTCTGAATAATTTATAATGCACATACTTCTCACTGTGGTTTTCTTCAAATGTGTCCATTTTTGAGTATGACCTTGGACGGTTGTTAAAGTAAAGATTACCAGACCCTTACTTACCTCTCCAGAGGTTCACCCAGAACAGTCATCCCAGGTGATTCTTATCATTCAGGTTTGGGAAACTTACCATTGGACTTGGGGCAGCAAGAGGAGACAAATTAAAAAATTAATTAATTAATTTAAAACAGTAGAACCAAATCTTTTGGGGGCAGGGAGTGGAGGGGAATAAATGTTTAGTGTTAAAAGCAAAGGGGCAGTTTCCTCAGGCATCAGATGGAAGTGACATGAATGGCTTCTAACATGTGGGCGTTTAGGCTGGTGCTCCCAGGTCTCTCATCCCTCAGTGTAAGCTTGTCTCCCATAAGCCCGCCTGCTGATTCATACTGCAATCCCTAATTTGATCTTTTTTGTCCTTTTAAAATCCACCGTTAATTTAAGACACATGAGAAGCACGCCTTACTGTTGCTCAATTATCATAATTCATCTTCAATTAACTTTTATTACCAGTGCCACTTAACAGAAGCCAGCTATTGAGAGGCAGACCTTTTTTTTTTTTAGCACTGTCACCTACCATGTGCAAACCAGCAAGGCCTACCTGTTTGGCATGTGGGGAAACTGAGGCACAGAGGAGCTAAAGAGCCCTAAGGGAAACGATGTTTCTCCTTGTAGTATGGGTGCTTCCACCTCTCAGTCAGCAGGAGCTCGTTGCTTTTGCTACTGTTATCTGCCCTCCAAACTCAGGTTTCAGGACAAAGAGAATAGCAAAAGTTGTTTACAGAAAGTATAATAGCCTTTAGTGTGCTCACTGGGTCAAAGGGGCCACATTTGGTCAAACCTGAAACACAAGTGAGGGAATCAAAGTTAGGATTTCAGTGGGTGAAACAAGGAGGTGGCTCCCTGTGCCGTGGGCTAGGAGCAAAAGGAAAATGAGAGGATGCTCTGGAGTGGGGGCTCTGTCCCCCCCAAGCACACAGGCAGGCCAGCCCTGCCTCTCCCGCAGACGGCCCCTGCTGTTCAGATGGGTTACCTCAGACTCGCTCAGTGGTCGAGGGCACAGGCTTTGGGGGCTGAATCGGGTTTGGGGCATGGCTCCCCACTTCCTGCCTGGGTCAGCTTGGACCAGTCCCTTAACCTCTCTCTGTCTCCATTTACTTTCCCTAAAATGGAGTCAGTAATTCCAGTAATAAGAGCATTGCAGGGATCTAAATTTAACAAGATATAATGCATATAAAATGCTTGGCACATTGTCCGATACACAAATGTTAGATGATTGGGAGCCATTGTTAACTTGACCATCCAAGGCAAACAGTCCAAAGCACATTCAATTTGTGCTTCTTAAAAGAATAAACTTAGAGCCTGCCGAATGTACATGTGTATGTTGTGTACATATTATTAAGTTAGTTATGGTGAGAACCGAGATGAAAAAAGAGTAAATTAATAAGTAGTTCTAGGTATCCAATTAGATAAGATTTAAACCTTACCTAAAGCTACATTTTGTTAGGCCAAATTTGGGGATGGTTAGGAACCATTGCCTTGGCAAGCAATCGGCCAGGCAGGGTGCATGTGACCTCCTTCCAGAACCTACCTACACATTCCTTTTGCTTGGGGAGCAGCATTTACAAACAGCATTGTGTGTAGGCCCTTCTCAATCATCCCTCCTTTCTGGGGGGGGCGGGCCTACGGGAGAGGCAGGAACGCCTTGTCTGTCTCTCCAGAGCTAGCCCATTGGGGATGGTTAGCGCAGGCCCGTTCCACAGTGGAGCACCTTTGGAGGAGTGAGATTGCCCTTGAATTAATCCCTGGACACCTCGGCATGGCCTCTTGGCATTTGGTTTTGTTCTGTCACAGCTTAAAGCTGGCTTTGATACCTTGTTGGTCCTCTCTTCCTGGCTACGGAAACATAATGTACAGAGTGTGATCCTCTCCCAGGCTCAGAAACTAGCATCTCCAGCAGCTCGCCGCAGCTGGGCCTCTGCCTCGCACTGTCATTTGTGTCTTTCATGGCCAAGGGGAAGGCTGCACTTGTTACGGGCATGTCACAAGGTCTGCGTTAGCTTCAGCAAGCTTCAGCTCGAAGGCCCGGAGGTTTCTGTCCAAAACTCTGTCGCTCTTCACAGGTGCTGGTACTGTTTGGCAGAGCAGTGAACATTTTCCCTCTGTCCTACCTCCTGAATTTCTTCCGTGATCATAAAATCACACCGAAGATGATGTTCATCATGTGGTTTAGCGGTAAGTCCACTGTTGAATGAACACTGGAAGGAAAATAGCTCTTATTAAGGGCACACACGGCGTAGAGAGCGTGTGTGGTCTCTGCTGGAGCGCGTTGAAACCGGGCACCCCTCATAAGGCAAAAACCATACCGGCCTCGGGCAGGTCCCCCACAGACAGTGCCCCTCACAGGCTCCGTGCTGCAAGACAGATGGGTAGTGCGCGTCTCTTCTACACATGAGGAAGCTCAGGTTCAAGGGCAAAGGACTTGCTTGGGTTCCTGTGATGACAGGAGGTGGAGCCAAGGTTTCCTGTCCTGTTCGCGCTCCTCTCGACGGTCGGGCAGTCCAGGGCAGGACGCGCAGGGGGCAGCCCGCACCTGCCTGCAGGTAGTGAGGGGCTCAAAAAAAGGTTCAAGTTTAAACTCTTTCGTGCTACAGACCAGGTTTGGATATGCTTTTCATTCAGAGTTCTGAGAGTTGATTGGAACATGTTCAGTTTCTGTGCGAATTCCTGTACTCTTTAAAGGATAGGAATGATTTCATCTTTGGCTCCTAATGAACTGGATCCTTAGGCATCTTTAAATTTATTTTTGAGCAATACATCCAGTTCTTTGTACTTTCTTATTTAAATATTATAATTAAAATATTCTGTGTGGGTCGGGGTATAGCAACATGCTTTATAAGCTGTTTTCTATCCAACAGCATATCTGTACATTTCTCGCAGATTTCTCTCCTCTTTCAAAAGGCCTTGTTTAAAATATATACATATGTATGTGTGTGTGAGGTATGTATGTATGTTTAGCGAGAGAGACTTCTTTCTCAATCTTTTTTGCCAACGAGAAAAAAAATTTTTTGTAAAGTAGTTGATCCAAGGTCTTAAAAATTTCAAAATCTAAGGGATATATCAGATCCTTTACATGGTTGTGTGAGCAGTTTGGGAGGGGTGGGCATGATAAGAGACCTCTGTGGGGAATGGGGGTGCTGTTTTAAAGTGAAGAGCTGTTGGTCCCAGCTGTTGATGTCCCAGGCCATCCCAAGCCCTCTCTCCACAGATGTTCACCCTCTTTCCTGGATCCTCAACCTCTGTCTCTACTGAGACATCATCATTGAAACTCTTGAAGATTCTTCTCTTTCCCAGCAAAAAACCAGCAACTTCAACCATAATCCCTTCCGCACACCCCCTCCAGCTGCTTCCCGTCTCCCATTGCAGCCAGACCTCCTTAAGTGGGCTGTCCTCCCCTGTTTTCTCTTCTTCCTCACCTCCTGTTCATGGGCCTGAACTTGGCCTTACCCGGGTCACCTAGCAACCTTTTGCAGCCAAGACCTGCACGGGGCAGCCCTCGTCCGGTCCACCTCCACGGCTTTCAGCTCCTTCTTCCCACCGACCTGCTTTCTGCCTGGAGACCCTCTTCCCTGGGCCTCCAAGCCATGCTCCTGGTTGCCCTCCTTCCCTTTGGGTCTTCTCAGGTTCCCCTTCTCCTTTACCAACCCCTCAAACACTGGCGTCCTCAGGACTCAGCCCCAGACCTGCTTCTGCTCTTTTGTTCTCACAAGCTCACCCATCCCTGTGGCACCAACGTCCATCAAGTTCCCACACTCCCAAAGCTGTTTGCTCTTAGATCTCGATTCGTGTCTAAATCCTCCTTCGACACTGTGAGGATCTCATTGTCTAGGACTGAATTTACCTTCCTGCCCAGCCTCTTCTTTGCCCGCGTCCCCTTCCACGGGCAACAGAATGTGTGTTACAGCAGAGGCGCGGCTAACTCAGCGCTTGCTGTGTGTACAGCTGTCCTGCGCCGAGCGTTTTGTCCTCCGGCCACCGACCTGGCAGGCCCTGTTTCCAGTCCCGTGTGACAGGTGGAGAGGTGGAGTTGAATCCGTCACTTCGGCCCGAGAGGCCTGGGGGAAAGCAGGGAGCCAGGGGGTGACCCCAGGAGCCAGACCCCAGACCTCACGCCCAGACCACCGTGCAGCACAGCCTCCTGGGACACCCCGCTGTCGTCCGTGCCCTTCCCTTCCCCGGCCACCCCACCTCCCACTCACCCCTGTGGCCTGTTGCTTCCACTCTCCGTGTCTCTCTCAATTCTGTCCCCTTTCTGTGTCCCCGTCTTGGGTGTGCACTGCCGCTGCAGTCAGACCCCCATCCTTCCGTGAGGCTCCAGCCTCCATGTCTCGTCAGACCCTTCACTGTGTGCCCTGCCCCATTCTCCCCTTCTTCGGGCGCTCACCATGGCACAAGCCCTTGTCTGGGGTCTTCCACCTGTTCCCTTCTGTGGGGCACCAGGCAAGCCGGGACGTTGCCCAGAAAGTGCTGTTTCCCAGCTCAGTGCAGCCCCTCAGCCCAGCCAGCCGCCATGCAGGGCAGCACAACCAGAAGCAAGGAAGACGCCATGATGCAGCTCTCAGCGGCCTCTGGCCCGCAGCAGAGCAGCCCCGAGCCTGTCAGTGCGGCCAGGAGCTGCTTAAGAGCAGCATCTTCAGAAACGAGGGGCATTTGGATAAATCGCCTTCTTTGCTGTTGCCTGGAACGCTGTGTGGCCCCGGGAGATGCATCCTTCCCTCAGTCTCGCTTCCTCATCTGCATGTGGTGGAGAATGGTAGGCCCTGCTTTACCAGCCGCCCTGTGAAGTTCCAGTGAGATTGTGCACACAGAGCCCTTAGCACAGGGCCTGGCCCCACGCACAGGGACGGCTCAGTCTGCACCAGCTGTCGGATTTCTAAAACGTGAGCGTTGGGCTGGACAAGTCCCCAGGCACGCACGCACGCACGCACACCTGGTGCTTCATGGCCTGGACGGGTCACCTCATTTGACCTACTCGGCCACCCCGTGAAGTGGAAATGGATGTGATCAGACCCCACTTCTCTGCAGCCTGCTTTTCTCACACCCCAGAGCCTCACAGGAGGCGCTCACCCTCCACAGTAGGATGTGTTAGAACATTCGCCTGGTGCGAGGCAGGGCTGGGCCCAGGTCCCCAGGGCTCCCAGTCAGTGACGCAGCTCCTCTTGCCCCCCTCCCTGCCCCCAGGCCTGCGGGGGGCCATCCCCTACGCCCTGAGCCTGCACCTGGACCTGGAGCCCATGGAGAAGCGGCAGCTCATCGGCACCACCACCATCATCATCGTGCTTTTCACCATCCTGCTGCTGGGCGGCAGCACCATGCCCCTCATCCGCCTCGTGGACATCGAGGACGCCAAGGCGCGCCGCAGGAGCAAGAAGGATGTCAACCTCAGCAAGACCGAGAAGATGGTTGGTGCCGCGGGGGCCGGGGGCGGGGGCGGGGGCTTGGTCTCCACCGCAGCTGGGAAGTGGGGAAATGAGACACGATTTGAGGATCTCGGCACCTACACACACTCAGGAGGAAGTTGAACTGGAGTTCTGCGGCCCTTTGTGGGTTGTCTGTCCACAGAGGCCGTGGAGTGGGAGCGCGGACCCACATCAGGCTGTCCTGGCATCACCTTGTGGAAGGTTTTAAAGTCATGTCATCCCCCTCCCCCACAACGTTTACTGAAAGCCTCCTGCTGGGGGCCTGAAGAGGGGAAGGTGCTTGCGGTGCCTCTGAGGGCCGTGAGAGCGGTGCCTTCCCCCGAGGACAGACAAGCGAGGTGTCCAGGGCCCAGCCTCAGTGAGCCGGAGGCTCCCAGATCCCTGCCTCCTCCCAGCCACCCTCCTGCCCCTGTGGCTGCCCCTGCCGGGCTCTCTGTCCCGGGCGTCAGCGGGGGTGGTGTCCTCCTTGCCCTGTGTTGACCCCTAGGCCCCCTGTGCTGATCCAGGCTCCCTGACAGGAGCAGAGGCTGGCCTTGGCCTCTCAGCCCACCTTCCTGCACCGCCCCCGCCCTCCCACCCCCAGTTCTAGAAATGCCTCTTTTTCTAGTTCCCTTATTTGAAGCCATCAGTAACTTTATTCAGTCAAGAAAAGCAGAGAAATCCTCAACCGGAAGACAGTGACGGGGACACAGCCCACTTTCCCACTGGGGAGCTCAGGTCTGGCCAGATCTTGGTCTCAGGCCTCTGTGTGGCCCTCCCTGGCCTGTGTCTCAGCCAAGGCCCTGCTGGGAGGAAGCCTTCGGGTGGTCACAGGCGGGTGATCACGGGTGGGGTTGGCTCAGTGGGACCTTCTCACTCTCAGAGGCCCATCTCCAGCCATCCCCATCCCCCAACTTTCTGGTTTGTTCTTAACAACAGCCCCAGTGCAGGTTCTCAGACCTTTCAGAGGGTGGCAGAATCAGTGGAGGGCTCCGGTCTTCCCAGGTCTGGGCTGCGGCCGGAGAGAATTTGCATTTTGAGCAGGTTGCCAGGTGCCGCTGCCCTGCGGGTCCCGCAGCCATGCTTGCTGAAGCCTGGCTCCCACGGAACCGGGATGTTTGCCCAGCGGAAGAGCAGCTGCTATTTAGGGAATGTTTTCTGCGGCATGGGCACTCTGGTTGTGCTCTCCTCGCACCGTCTCAGGTTGCCCTGATAACCCACAGGAAGCAGGTGCTCTCTGCTCATCCCCATTTTGCAGACGAGAGTGCTGAGGCACAGAGGGGTCACGGACTCCATAGTCTGTGCTCTTCACCACCACGCTCTCCATCAGCACTCTCAAGGTGGAGGTCCCTGGATCGGCAGCATCCCTGGGAACTTGTTAGAAATGCAAATTAGTGGGCCCCATCCCAGACCTGCTGAATCAGAACTCTGCAGGTGGGCCTGGGGGGGCCAGCATTTTGTGGGTTCATAAGCCCTCCAGGTGATTCTCCCCGCCCCCTCCCACACCCTGCACCTGCTCCACCCCCAGGCCCCCAGTGGGGGCCACTTAGCTGTGGCTTCAGAGCCGCTCCTCCGAGGCAGATGCTACATTCACACCCTGGTGGCCTTGGGTCGTCCCCGCAGGGGGTGGGTCTGTTCTGGGCCTGGGGCCTGGAGATGTGCTGGCGTTGACCCGGTGAACCGGAGCCCTCCTCCCCCTGCAGACCTGCCCTGCCACGGGGTAGCTGCTCTCATTCCTCTCCAGTTCCCCCCAGGATGGCCCCCACACACACACACACACACACACACACTGACAGGCTGGCCAGTGCCAGCCTGGAGCAGAACCCCAGCTAGTGCAACTGCCGGCAAAAATGACAGAAGGAACCCTCCTTGTTCAGTTTGCTGCGAATGAGATCACCCAGAATGGCGGTTCCCGGTCCTGCCTGCCCATTAGAATCACCTGGAAAGCTTACAAACCAAACCCCAGCCCACAAATAAATTCTGATTTATTCATAATTCTGATTTATTCCTGGGTATCCATCACGTTTTTATAAACCTTCCCACCTCCCTGCGGGCTCCCAAGAGGCGCTTTGCTGCCCACAGATGCCCTGCACTGATTCGAAAGCACAGTTAGGGTTGGGGACACAGGTGGCTGCTGGGTAGGCGGGGGGGGGGGTGTGCCCTGGAAGAGGCCAGCCAACGACCCTCGGACGACCTTCCCTCCCCAAACAGGGCAACACCATCGAGTCAGAGCACTTGTCGGAGCTCACGGAGGAGGAGTATGAAGCCCACTACATCAGGCGGCAGGACCTCAAAGGCTTTGTGTGGCTGGACGCCAAGTACCTGAACCCCTTCTTCACGCGGCGGCTAACTCAGGAGGTGGGACACCGGCGTGCGCCACATGGCTAGAGGTCCCCGGTCTCCCTCCCCCCGGATCTGCAGGGGCTGATGGGGCGGGGGGGGGGGGGTGCGTGGGGGTGGGGCCAGCCAGGCTCGGCCTTCTTCCCAGGCTGGCAGCTGGGTATGCTGTGGAACTCGGCATCTGCTGTTTTTCCTTCACTGCCGTTTTTAGTGCTGGTTTAATAATAGACTTGTTAACACAGTTGGGTTTTCCTGGATGATAGACGCAGGACATTGATTGGCTACTGAATCTGAGCTGAAAATTTCAAACATGCCGGGGCCTCAGGCAGTGGCCCACGGCTCAGGGCTCTTGTTCCATCCCTCCGGGGACTGCTGGCCTCTGGGCGACAGTGGATGACCCAGTCCCGTCACTTCGTTTCCGAGCCCATGTTCCCGCCCCGGCAGTCACGGCTGCTGTCAGCGTGGGACTTTCTCTTGCTTCGCTTCATCCTCCCAACAACCTGTGTCGTAGCTGCAGCTTCTCTCTCGCCAGACAGCTGGGGAGACCGAGGCCCAGAGAGGTGCAGTAACCCCCCAAGGTCAAACAGCCAAGACGCGGCAGAGGTGGGAGCAGAGCCCTGTTTTTTAACATCACGCCAGCCAGCCTCCGGCTGCTGTCTCTGAGTGACGCCGCCTGTTCTCTTCACCCCCACGGAGAAAAATCCCAGCTTGAGCTGGCTGGTTAGCACTTGGAAATTGCCTATGGCCACGTGCCCCTTGGCCCGGCTCCCCCACAGCCCCGCGAGGTACACAGCAGCTCCCCTGTCCCTCGGCCCTGACCCAGACCCACTGACGAGGCCCTGGTTGTGTCTCCTGCTCCAGGACCTCCACCACGGGCGCATCCAGATGAAAACCCTCACCAACAAGTGGTACGAGGAGGTGCGCCAGGGCCCCTCCGGCTCCGAAGACGACGAGCAGGAGCTGCTGTGACGGAGCAGGGCGCCCCGTCCGGCCTCCTCGCGGCTCCCGCGACGGACGCTCGCATGTGGCAGCCTCCTCAGGGGAGATGGAAGCAGGGGGAAGTGAAGGCCGTCCCTGGCTCTTGGAGCCGGCTGTCTACTTCTGAAGTAGGTCATGTCCCCGGGCTGCACGGAGCCAGACCCCTTCTCAGCCCGCAGACCGGAGGGAACAGCTGTCCAGGTACACCTTCCTTCTGCTTCTGCGGCCAGGGTGCAGAGTCCTCTGCCGGACCGAGGGGCCTGAGAAGAGAGGCCATGCCCCGCTGTGGAGCCTGCCGTGAGCGGGTCTGCTGGGGAGCTGGGGGAGCTTGCAGCTTCTGCCATTCCCAGCCACGGCCTTCATCACGGGAGCGCCTGTTCTAGCAGCGCAAGGAGCCAGCCGCCATTTCCCTTTGGTCATCGAGGTGCCTCTGGTCTCCGCAGCAGCAGTTCTGACCCAAGGGGCGGGCTCGGGAATCTGGGAAACCTCACGCTCCCCTTTGTGATGTTGCTTGAGAAGGAAAAACCGAGTGACCTTTTCCTTTACCTCCGCCTGGGACCTCGCAGGCCGTCCCCCTGAGTGACAGGCGGCCACTGCCCTCCTCTGGGAATAGTGTGAATGTTTACGCTGGTTCGGAGCAGGGGCACACGGGCCCCTTGGAAGCCGCATCCTTGGGTTTCTGGGGGTGAGCAAGCCTATTCTGTGGGGTGAGAGTGTGGGGTGAGAGCGCCCTCTGGAGGGAGAAGCCAGGAGTTACAGGGCTTGTGCAGGCCTGCATCTGCTGTCTGAATTCCGTTTTAATTCATGCACTCTGACAAAGCAGTGAGAGCCTAGCAGTCACCTCCCCCGCTCAGTGGACCTCCTTGGTCCAGAGGCCCCATTTCCTAATGCCCACTGTTCGCCTGCTGCCACCTTCACTGCTAATCAGCATTTCCTCTTTCCCTGCCCCAGGTCTCTCCCAGCTCAGGTCCCAGCTCACCAGAGCCGTGGGGCCAGGGCCAGAGCGTGCTCCTCCCCGGCCACCCCCGCCCAGGACTCGCTCGCAGAGCGTCTGTACGTGCTCTTTCCGTCTCACACGCCCCGCCCCATCCCTGTGGGCCCGGCCCCGGCTACCTAGGGTGAGGAGCTGCCAGTCATGTCCAGGCGGAGTGGAGTTACTGACTTTCGCCTCCGCTCCTCCCCTGCCCTTAATAAACCTCGTCCCTGCAAGCCACAGGGCCAGTGGCAACTCCCCTAGGTGGCTCAGGGTCGCTGCCCGGGGTGGGTTAATTCGTCATGTGCGTGTCCGTGGTTCTCTGGAGGGACGCGGGGGGCCAGCACAGGCCCCGGGCTGGCAGCGTATAGGTCTCCATCTGTTCTGCCTCAGGCAGCATGGCTCTGTCTCTCAGGAAGGACTGATTTCAGAGCCCACCAGGCCAGACCCATTTCCCCGAAGTATGAGGCCGGTCAGGCAGGAAGCACGTGGTTTCCTTTTTATGCATGAAAAGTAAATCTGTAGTTGATAGGGTTAAAATATGGTCAGTTGTCTTTTTGTAACCTCCCACTTTAACCCCATAATTTAAGCCAAATAGGAGTATTTTACTCCACCTAATACCTTCACTTGGAGGAGTAATACCGTGCATAATTCTGGTCTCCATCATTTCCTACTTAATTTTAGTGGAAAAGTAAGAGAAGAGGTCAAAGAGGGAGGGAACCTTTGTCCACACCTGGTGAGGTCTTGACTAGAGCGTTCCCCAATCCATAAGTCATTTACCTTCTCCTTTGAAGTTCAGGATCTGAGCTCAGAAGTGTAACTTGCATGGCAAACTCAATAGTTTACCAGAAAGTTTGGTGGGGCGGGGGCTATGAATTCACAGGTAAAGCAGTGAAAACAGGATCTTCTCAATTCAGACTGCCCCTTGTCACCAGGTCCCACCTGGCCTCCAACTTTTAGCTGAGACCTGAAAATGACCCTGTAGTAGAGTCCCCAAGGTGGAAGGTCCCCAAGGCCTAGCTTAGTGGGCAGGGGGCACCTTTCCTTGCAGGTCCCAGCACCAGCTTGGGTCTCCTGTGAGCCTTTTCTGCCCCCTGCTGAAGGGAAGCTTTGGTGGGCTGGAGCACATTCCCACGGGGACAGGGGCAACCCGTGTTCCTCAGGTCTGTCTCTTCACCTTTGCCACAGGCAGAGCCCATGGAGATATATTTTTCTGGTGGATTTTTTTCAGGTGTCTTTGAGAATCAGAAATTTGCTGCTGTCTACCTTAACATACCTAATAATTCTACTATTTGGGGCAATAAATGCCTACTAGATAAAAAAAAATATTCAGCATAACTACGATTTCCCACAGATTTATTTCCTTCTAGGTCTAGGCCATGGGAGAGCTGTAGCACACAGACAAGGTCATACTTCAGAGGGCGGTGAAGGCTCTGAAGTGTGTGAGTGCCTGTGGGGAAGCTGGACGGCTAGCCAGTGAACTCAGAAGACATGCTGGTCTTGGGGAGCCATGTGGTGACAAGCCGCACACCCGAGGCTCCCCCTGCAGCCCTGTCGTTGTAGGACTCCTGGGAACAACCATACCCCCGAGGCTTGCGGTGTGGGAGCGTGACAGGGAAAGGAGCTGGCTTGTCCTAGGTCCCCAGAGATCAGGTTTTAGGCTGGGCTGAGCCAGGGCCAGGCAGAAAGAAGGTGGCTCAGTTCCATGGTCGGGTGCTCAGACACTCAGCCCGACGGCAGAACAAAAAAACCTCCCGCACCCAGGCCAGCTACCTTGCTTCACAGTGGAAATGCTGGCCAGGCCTTGGCTGACATAAGGCCAAGGGGCAGGGCCTGGCCCAGAATGGTGGCCGCCCCTGAGTACCCCCTTGTCGGCCTAGGGAGGCCCTGGTTTGCCTGCAGATTCCCTTGGTGCACAGTGAAGTGTGGAAAGATGGGTGAGTGGGGATCCTCCTGTCCCTGAAACCTATGTCAGAGGTGCCATCGGCAAGACTTGGCCCTGTGAGGTCTCAGTTCCACCTGCGCACAGAGGCCGGGGCATTTGGCAGAGTCCTCGGCAGGCTGGCCACAGCCGCTTCCGCTTTGGTGGTGGCCGGCTTCCCAGCTAAGTCATGGGTGGCACAGGTACGAGCCTCAGAGCTGGGCCGTGCTTCAAGAGCAAGGAAGAATGGGCAGCAATGATCTGCCGTTATTGGGGCTTCAAACGCAGAGAGAGGGCGAGAAAGGGCACCGCCCCCCCCACCATTGCCGCGTGTCTCCCGCCGGCCGGTGGTGTAGAAAACCCACCCCGACCCACGCTCCCAAGCAGCCCGCGCCCTGAAGCGCTGTGCTCCCAGCGCCTCGGTCTCCAAAGCCCCAACCAGGACTGTCTTAAATGAAAACGGCCCCAGTGGGAGGATTCCACCCCGATGCCTGCTGTCTCACGCAAGCGGAGCTGGACGTTCCGGAGCTTCCACTGCCGTTTGCCACGAGACCAAAGAAGGCCGGCTTGACAGTTCCCCCCGGGGCCACCCCATTTCTTGGCCCTCCCCGCCCTCTCACCGGTGAGCTGACTGGTCCGTGCGTGAGCCGCCGGGCAAGAGCAAGCGCACCTGTCACCGACGTGGGCCCTGCGGAAGAGTCCCTTCTGGAAGCCCCAGGCCTGCTCTGCCGCTCCTCCTCGCGGCCGGGCTCCGAGGTTCGTGGCTCCCCCCAAGGCTGGGACAAGGTCTCCAATGCGGCCCCGGCCAAGCTTGAATCTCTTCTTTGTATTCTTCCGAGTGATTTTGTTTGTAAAAATGAAGGGTTGTTTTTTAAGTACTGCTTTTTTATTTGTTTTAAGGACCTTTAGGAAGGTCAGGTTTATTCTCTGTCCTCCCCCATGTAAGTTGTGAGGTGTTGGTTAGGTCCTGGCTCCTGAGAAATGATTTGCTGCTCTTCGGGATGGGGCTTCAGAGGGGCTGGGGCTGGGACAGGGTACCCGCAGCTGCCGTGCTGGAGCCCCTGCTTCATTTCACTGGACTCTGCCAAGAATGCAGAAATGACTGGAAAACTGTAATGTCACTGGATACTTACTTAGAAATAAAAGTGAATGCTGCTGGATCAGAGGCAGTTTCTGTGTTTGTTGGTTCAGGTGGCAAACAGCATGGGTCACACACTGCTGGACTCAGCTCTGTGTCACCACCTACCGGACTCGGGGGGAGGGGGCGGGGTGGGGCCGCCAGCAGCAGACGTGTTGCCCGAGCCGTGCGGTGGGCTTCGGATCAGGCAGGCCTAGGCCTATTCCTACCCCTGCCCCTTAGTGAGGAGCACGTGAGGCCAAGTGGAAGGGTCTAGCACAGGCCCAGCTTCCAGCCAGCCCACAGCTGCAGCCGCCCGCAGGTGCCAGGAGTCCGTCCTCCCCAGGACTCCCGGGGCTGCTGGTCTCCTGCTGCCTGGGATTGCAGATGAGCCCCCATGCGCCCCTGCCAAGCTGTGGAAGCAGGAACACGCAGGTCCATCCCCAGGTTCTGAAGCCACACAGCCGCAGGAGTCTCTGGTGGAAGGTGGTGGTGGCATTCTCCGTGGGAAGCCTGCAGCCTCCGTTTAGTTTTACCCCCTCATTCTTCCAAAAGGCATCCAAAGCTGCTTACGGTAACAGGCACAGACAAAAAAAGAAATACATGGAATAGAAAGCGAAAGCAGGTAGGACAGCCTGTCCTGACCCCGGGCCTGGGCCTTCTGGCAGGGAAGCCAGTGCTGGCCCTTAGTTCCTTCCAACCCTGCAACTCATCCCATTCCCGTTCCCGTTCCCCCAGCCAAAGAAGGAAGTGGGGAGAATATATCCCACCTGGGACCCTACCTGTACCTGGGCTGCGAAACCAGGTGCCCAGACCGTGCCGGGGTCAGGCAGGGAGCCAGGTGGGGAGCCAAGGCTGGGTGTGAGGGACACGTGGCCTGCCTTCATCGGCTCCCTTTTCCACCTCTGAAGAGCCCTGGGTTCAGAGAAAGATTTCTCTACATAATAAAACTTTGTGAGTGTGATGACAGGTGGCAGTGGAACGATGGGGACCCTGGCAGAATCTTCTCAGGCTGCCACTG